ATTTGCAGGGAAAACCTTTTTTCAATTTCCTGTGCAGTTCTTTGATGGCCCAGTGACACCCAGTGATAATTTGTCGCAGAGTAGGTTTCTGTTATGCTTTCAGTTACTTGACCTTTTATATTACATATCCCTATCTCCGGCGAACATTCGCTCTTCAATAGAAGTTATAATTATTGATAGAAGCATATATGCTGTAGACATCCCTCAGCCTCTGATGCAATAGATTGGTCAGCAAGTCTAATAATTTCTGCTTGCCTCATGTATTTTTTACACACTGAGTGCTACAGCAAGCACGCAGTTTTCTTAGAAAGACCTTCCTGATTTTGCTATGCATAGTATCTCCCCGTTCAGAGCGCTCTGCTGTCTTTTGCGTGGGCACATTGCATGCAAGATCATCCCTAGCTGTGAGGCACCTCCTGCTCTGACATCACAAGACGTCACGAGGCATCCCATACGTGAAATATTCTGCAGGGAGGAAAAAAGAAAATGTGGGGAAAAAGCTCTCCACCTAAGCTGAAGGGATTAGGATTAAAACCCAGTGGTTGTGCCTCCACATTGATGCCGACACTGCTCCTGCCACCCAGCAAACCTTTAATCATCAGGACAGAATGGCAGTGTTTGAGGTCTCCGGTGTTTCTCTACCAACCCTCACCTGTCACACCTCAGTGACGCCAAGCTTACAGAGAAAGAGTGGAGTCGGGGGATAACGTTACAGACGGTAACATGTTACGCTGGTAGTTGATGGTTGAATAACTAAGAGAATCAGCTGTTCAGAGGATGGTTTAGGCGTTTTTCGAACATTGTTCTATAGATCTTTTGATATGGCTTATTTAGAAAATGTGATCTTCTATCTTGGTCAGCTTTTACATTTGAAATGTGGAGCTTGGCTTGTGTCCTTTGTTATATGTGATGCGCTATATAATTTGTGAAGGCGTTGGTTAGAAAACCTAGTCCACCAGCATGAGACTTTGGCCAGAAATCCAAATATTTCTTGTTTTTCTGACTGCTTGCAACAACAGTGTCCAATTTATAATCAGACAAATCTCTATAGACGGGCATGAGTGATTTAACCTTGTATCGACAGCATCATTCTGGTGATGTGTCGAGGCAGTGGCCGGCTGCCACGTGCTCATTTGAAGATTGTCAAGCGTCATCTTCCCGTCTGCCTTTCTAAATCCATTTGCCAGAAAGCCTCGCAGCTAGTCTCCGAGTTAACCAAACTATCTTCAGGCTTGCTCAACACCGACTTAAGAAAATAAGTTAACAGAGAGCCGGGCACCTCAGGCTGTATGCACATTACAAGGCTGTCCAAGATTATATCTCCAGAGCCTTTTCATATGTAATCATCAGTGTGTTGGAAATGGAAAAACCATTACTTTGCCAGGTCCTTGTTTTACACCAACATTAAAACAAGGTTAGCACAATAATAAAGCATATTTGCTTACTTTATGATATAGCATTGCACCATAGTTGATGTTTTACCAAGTCACATCATATTTACTGGCAGCCATTTTGACATCTGTTTGCTAATTGCATTCAGGCAACAACTAGCTTTTACATGTTTTTTCGAATCAAGAGAACCCACAGAGAGCAAACGGCATCAATAAAGATTAAAAACATGTTTCGCAATAAATTACATGGAAATATTGTCCGAACATCAGCTGGAAATAGGAACACCTGCAGGCTGCATGTATGAACACATATATTTGATTCTAGATTCTGGTCAGTGCTGTTTATCTTGCTTCTGCTGTGTATGAGGAAATGATGTGTGCGCACGCATGCACACACACACACACACACACCTGTGACGTTGGAAATGTTGTCCAACCAGCCTGTCTCTGATCCCTGACACACACTCGCATTCATTGTCCACCCTGGCCTTCTGTTGCTTTATTTCTAAGATTTGTTTTTCTAATCCTTATTGAGGCTCTAAGGATAGAGAGTGATGCATGCTGAACAGATTGAAGGCAAATCTGTGATATATGCAAATTCAATTGACTCACTTATCTCACCTGGAAGCTATTTCATTCTTCTTTGTTTGTATTGGGTGCTTGCGGTTCTATATATTTCTCATTTGATTTGAAAGATTATTGATTTTCTCTTTCCCTCCCCTCCTGCAGTCAGACCCAGTTGTGACATAAATGCTTCCTCCTCAGTCACAGTCTGACGTAGATAATTTGCAGATGGAGCTTTTTGTTCTCCCCCCTCCCCGACACAATACAGTGACGTTTGCCAGAGTGTGGACTGGAGACGCCACACAGCAGATGTCAGCGTGTGTCCTGCTTGTTTCCTCTCCTGTACTGATGCTCTCTCTCTGGGGATGCGGCATCGTGCTTCTCTTATAATGGCAGCAATTCCCTGAGCCTTTTCATTCAGAGAGTGATTTACAACTCTGCAGCAGTCCGTCAGGGTCCATTCCGAAATTACAAAAGCTGAAGCACGAGGAGATGAGACGAAAAGCAGATTTTCAGTTGCATATCTCTGCGACAGCGTTTGGTTATTTCCCGTTTTCAAACAATTGTGAAAATTCCCCTCATGGAGCCATGTTGGATTTTTAAGGGGAACAGAAACTAAAATATTTTCATAATGCTTATCCATTTCTGATTTCACTTCTGTTTTAATATTCAGCTATTCCCTGTGGTTGCTGTCATCCTTACACTAACCTTTAGTCACTTGCTTCTGGGTGTGTGTGCCATCTTGTTTGTTTAGCTAAAATCATTTCCCCCCCTCTCTTCCCGTCCAGCCCTGGGAGCAGCCTATGGAACAGCCAAGAGTGGGACAGGCATCGCCGCCATGTCCGTGATGAGGCCGGAGCTCATCATGAAGTCCATCATCCCAGTGGTCATGGCGGGTATCATAGCCATCTACGGCCTGGTAGTAGCGGTGCTGATTGCCAACAACATCTCAGAGAAGGTCACCCTCTACAAGTGAGTGCAGCTGAACAGTCATACTTTGTGTTGTCTACATTTCTCCATTATTTGGGAGATGTCAAAAATACATTCGTTTCATTCTAAGGCAAAAATATACTAGGAAGGTCTCATTAAGTCTATAAGGCAATACTGATGTGGCTCTGCTTCTTGTCAGGCTTGGCGTAAGAAATTACATAAACAGTCAAATATAACACTGATCCTAACCTGACATTTTATTATAGCTCTACATATTCATTCATATTTGATGCATAAAAGCCAAATTGTTGCACCAATAACATTCGTACACAGCCAGGGTAGTGAACAAGTATGACTACAATTGAAACACTTCCTCCTGATTCAGCCTTACAACTCTTCACACTGCAGTCAAAAAATAGGGGTTACCATGGAGTTACTTAATATAGATTTAATGATATATTTTCATTGAAATCCATAAACGTGCTATATTTTTGACATTTATCCTTTTCATGATATGGAAAGTAAAAATATGGCATGATTTTAAAAAGACAATAACTCTTAAATTGTATTTAATTTATAAATATATGAGCAAATCTACAATGAGTTGTCTGCGCTCTCATTTTCATATTTTGGAGAAAGATTGATGTATTTACGTTCTTCACAGCTTTTTTTTGTTTTGTTTGATCATTTAAAAAGGTAGGAACAGTAAAACAAGAAAAGCCTGTTAGATTAGATTCTTTCAGCAGCAGACTCCTTTAACACCTTATCAACTAAACAGTGTTTTCTGTACTGCCTTTGGCTCCGAGAATGCATATCAGGCACTGAGTCAAAATGTCTTCAGTCGCTCAAAGTGTTATCTCAGACCACCAACGTCCCTCATGCTGACTGACTCTTTTCTGTGTGTGTTCAGGAGTTTCCTCCATCTGGGCGCGGGGCTGAGCGTGGGCCTCAGCGGGCTGGCAGCAGGCTTCGCAATCGGCATCGTGGGCGACGCGGGCGTGAGGGGAACAGCTCAGCAGCCGAGGCTCTTCGTGGGCATGATCCTCATCTTGATTTTCGCAGAAGTCTTGGGTCTCTACGGTCTCATCGTCGCCCTGATCCTCTCCACGAAATAAACAACCCAAACATCTCCACTACAAAGATCTGTCCTTTATGTTGCTGCTGGAGAATAAGTGTAAAAACGGGGGGGGGGGGGATTGTAAAAAAAAGTCTGCCGCTCGAGATGAAAGAAGTGAAGGCGGAGAAAAAATGAATTAAAAATGGCTCCATAAATATGGTCTTATCAACAATGTGTACAGTTGTCCCAATTTGATAGTCAACTTGTAAATGCGCGATGTAGTGATTTGTCTGTCGTGTGAGTGTGTTGTGTGTGTGTGTGTTTCAAAATTGTATGATGAAGATTCCTTTTTCCCTCCACTTATTTCAGGCCTTGAGGCAAGCCGAGGCAGCTTGTCTGGTCTCAGAGAGCTGACCACAGGCTGCACAGCTCCTCCCCACACACACCTGGGAGTTGACACAATTTCTGCATTAATCTTGAGGATCTATTTGTAAAGAGAAATGTAAATGGACTTTTTTTTTCAACTGATTTTTATTTATAAGAAATTGTTCATTGAACTGTTTAATGCAGTAAAAGTCTTTAATTCCCCAGGATATATTATACATATATACAGACATATATAAATATCTACATAGATTTAATGCACTGTGGGTTAATTGTGATAAGTGGTTGGAATTCCTTCTGGATGTAACTCATGGTTTAATAATTAAGATTGCCTTTAGTATGTTGCTGGTGAAGTTGGAGTTTTCTGTGTAGCTGTATTCTAATCATTACGCAAACATTCAAACATCAGTGTTTTTCCTGTAGTACTGCTGTTTGCATTAAAGGTGTGTGTGCGCCCCGTGATGGGTCTCACAATGTGTAATTTCCAAATTTCATCTCCATCTTATTCACCTCCTCCCTCCTCCTCATCTGTGGCTGTAACTCCATCTCTTCCACATTCCAGCCATTAAGATCCTGCATGGGTTTCAGTGTTTTGTTGCTGTTGGATATGAAGCGGAAGAGCAGGCTAGTTTCAGAAGATTTAATCCAGATCTAAAATAAACTACTTGTTTTAAAAAAAAATAATAAAGTTTAAATGACACAAAGACCTGGTGCTTGTAGCATGCGGCAGGAACCCAGTGAGATGAGGGGCCTAGTTTCACTCAGAGCCGGTCCAATTTGATCTGGGGTTTGTTTTCTGAAACTGCTGCTGACGCATTAACTAAAGAGCCAATCTACAATCCTGTATTGCCACTGATATTGAAGTTATCCTGATGTGTCGACGTGTGTCACAATCGAATTAAAGAAGATTCCAACTTAGATGTGACTGGCTTCAAACACAATGGATGTATATTCTACAGTGACACTTTCAGAGGAAGCATGCCTTTACATGACTTGCACTTTTAATATCATTATGTCCATGTCTTCCTGTTACACTTGTGAATGTAGTTAACACAACAGATGTGAGTTAACACTGACATAAGTTCACACAAAGCCTGCTCTGTACATTTGGCAGATACTGACATTAGGTATAAAAGGTTTAAGAAAAGAGTTAAAAAGCAGATAATTAGCAAACAGTTTAATATTGTTAAACTGTACAGGACAAAAATGCAACATGGAAATCATCCGAACAATAACTAACATTTATGTATTACAATGTACATTTTACAGAGCCTCTGTTCAAACGTAAACCATTTTGAGCAAATGTAATCTTGGTTCAAGATGTTTGGATGCTGCTGAGCAGAGTCTGAGCGATGCTGCTGATGGCACTGAAGGTGGCACTGTCGGGAAACGACTGCATGAAGTCTTTGCCCTCCTCTAGGCTGGTGCTGAGCAGAGGATCCAAGGGCACAGAACCTGAAATGGACAAAACATGATGTTGATTAACCAAACGACGTTATGCCTTAAAAGTACCACTCCCAAGGGATTCAGTAATTCATGATAAATAGTGAGAGTCAAGTGGATGTTAAGGGATATTCACTAATCAAATACTTCCCTGTGTAAAGCAGCACAGACACCGGGTGATCTGAATTAGCTGCATCATTACTCAAGAGATTGATCTGCATACAAGGCCGATAATCCCTTAGGGCAACCATTAAATGATCTATTAATTTGACACAGACCTATTGATGAGTATGCATCAAGCCCTCACTGAGGTATTTTTAAACCTGCTGTGAAAATCTGAGATCCCGATCGACCATTTTAGCAGCATGACAGTGATGTAAAATGCTTTCGAAATCACGAATGGAGGGTGAGGGGGATGTCAGTGTGGTGCGACACCCTGTGGCTGGAAGCTAGCATTACATTTGATTCAACTCCACTGGACTCACCGAGGAATATTGACCCGGTCAGTTTGGCTAACTCTTCACCTCCACCTTTTGAGAATATGTTGCTGCACTCCTGAAAAGAGAGAATATTTGTTAAAAAAGAGAGAAAAAACGTATTATTAAACGTATTTCTTGGGAGATCTAAATTGAGTACATTTTTAAAACAGGTAATACAGCAATTTATTGTAGAGGTTTTTTCTGTCCTTCATTGTCTGACTTTGATGCACATTACTGTAACTACGATTTCATTAGGAATGATTGATATTTCATTTCTGAACTGGACAAAGGTTTACTTACTGAGCAGTGCGGACAAACAAACCCGCTCATGTTCTCGATGATGCCCAGGATCCGTACCCCTGTTTTCTTACAGAAGGTGATCTCTCTCCTCACATCTCCTGTAGAAACTGCCTGTAACCAACACATAACAGGAAGAACAATCATCACTGGATATCATAGGGTCTTGTTTATAGTTCAATAAATAGCAGCTCAACTGGCTCACATAGACAAGTGAGCCACAGTGCCCTTCATGCTACTGTTTAAATTTACTTTTAAACAGACATGTAAAACCATATAATTGTATGTTGTTGCAAAGTTACATTTGTCAGTGAATTCGCCAGTTTTAGTTGGTCTTCTAAATCCTATTATGGACTGTAAGATCTCTGCAGCCTAGTCTATACCTGAGGTGTGGTGACCAAAACAGCTCCATCCAATCTGTGTTTTTTAAGGTTGTCCAACACCGCCAAATGCTCGTCAGACGTGCCTGGCGGGGTGTCGATGAGCAGCACATCCAGCTCTCCCCACGCTACATCCGACACAAACTGGCCAATCAAAGCTGTGAGACGGGACATTCAGAGAAGGAGAGGATATTGGTTGAGGAAGGTGTTAGAACCGTGTTTAAACCATGCCCCACACGTTTTTTCTTGAGACACAGAAGAATAGGAGAATAGTTTACCTGTTTTCTTGGGCCCCCTCCACACCACTGCTTCATCTGGGTCCTCCAGCAGGAAGCCGATGGACATGAGGGCAAGGCTCTTCTCTGCATCAGTGTAGACCGGCACCCATCCTGAGTCACACTGGTGCACGTCAGTCCGTCCCACATTCAGCATGCGGGGGATACTGGGGCCACAGAGGTCAATATCCAGGATGCCAACCTGATGAACACAGAGTAATATTAGTAAGTCCATTTACTTATGCTTACTTTTCCCTAAAAGTATGTATTGCGCACAGTTATAAACTGATTATTATCACATTGCAATTAAATAATGGGGAGTAACATACTGACTGTTTATTATGTGTTCTTGCATGATGCGTTACAACCACGTGTACAGTGTTAAATGACACTCTGCTGCACATACACTCAGCAGGTCTTTGAACTCACCTTGTTGCCAGCATGCCTGAGAGCCAGGGCTAACTCTGTGGTGATGGTGCTCTTTCCCACTCCTCCTTTCCCCGACAGCACCAACACAACATGCCGGACCTGGGACATGCCCCCGTCTCACATGAAAAGGAAAATGAGGTTTATTACGTCATGAACGCAGCAGATAAATGTAAAGTTAGTACTAAAGTTATGTCGCAGTTATGAAAGGGAGCACGTTCCATCACCTGAGTTCAGAAGTTCAACGTAACTAGGTGAGAGTTTGATATGCATAACATTAGAAACTATATCATACATTTTTGTATCAAGTTTAGCTTCTCCGAGGATATAGAAGTATTTCGGTAAGCTCCTATTTAGCAGCTGAAAGAGCTGAATCTTTCAAACGTAAGCCTATTTCTAATTAGCTCCCGCTAGCCGGTTAGCTAAGCTATAAATGCGTAACTAATTTACAACAGTCAGCAGTTTCTAACAGCTGCCATCAATAAAGAACAATGATACGACCTAATTATAGGAATGTAACCTTCTGATGAACTTTGTTGACGAGTAACTTTGACTTACCATTATTTTGTTCCATGTTTTGGATTTGATGCATGTACCGAATTCAACTGCTTCCGTATAACACCGTGCCACCTAGCCAATCACACACCCCCTGTTACAGATAAGTCCCGCCCCTTTTCCAACACCACCAATGGGCTGTTGGTGCGCAGCATGGGGCATTTACTCACACTGCAAGAGCTCTCAATTTATGGAATAACGAGTTTTAGTGTTTCTGTCAGCAGAATGTTTAGATGTCGTGATAAAGTGAGAATGATTTGCACTGGATGCGAATATACAGTGTGAATATGTGAACATGTAAACTCCTCCCTCTATGAGTCTTATCCAATAAGTACACGATGAGGGCGTGGAGAAGTAATGTTTACTTCTGGCTTGCTGCGAAGTGGGACAGAGTGTAAACTGCACCTGTCACACTGTAGCATACTGAAGCATACTGAGAAACACACTGGCATTCACATGAGCCACTGCAAGACGGTGAATAGGACGACTACTGTAAGGTAAGAATGCTCAAATGTATTCAGGCTGTATTGTGGTTTACTTTGTTTAGTATCTGAGTTCAGATGAAGATACATAACAGCAAAACATCAGATGTAGTGGTACAGAATACAACAACAGTTTGTGCTTTGATTTAAACATCCAGCAGATGCTATTCTCTTGACTTGCAGTGAGAATCTCAATCTGAGATATATTCTTGGTGCACTGATTTGGAGTGGATTGCTGTGTCTAAACAGGAAGTATTGGCAGGACATGGACAGTGGTGTGGTTTTCAGTCATTTTAATATCTGAAACATGCAAACTTGTCCCTGTCCTCAGTCAAACACTTGCCCTGAAAGCTACTGTGGGTTGTCTTCTCTAGAATGTCATTGCATGTGCATAAGTAGGGTAAAGCCCAATTAAAGTGAGACTAGCTCCAGACTAACTAATCTAAATTAATGGCAGTTATCTCCTGCACCTGCTTCCAAAGCAGTCACCAGCTGCTGTGTTCAGTGGTGGCATGAACCGCAACATGCTATCAGATTTGGCTACTGCGTTTAGTTAAAAAAAAAAAAAAACACTCTTGGTGTAAATGTTATCATGGTATAGAAAAAAATACTTTGTAATACAATAAAAAATGAGCACCTATAAAAGAGGATACATTAAAATGTGGGAATCTACTCAGAAAAACCAAAACACTGCAATTGAGGCAATTACATTTATGATTACTGGGTATAAAAATATTTCGCTTTTTTTTTTTACAAACATATCAGTCATTGTTGTTTGGGGTTCAATAAATCTGGAAACATGAACCGGTAAAGTTATAAGTTATCAATCAAAAAGTATGCATGTGCCATTCCTATCTTCATGAATACACGCTGGAGAGAGGCAGAAAAATGTTTTTGTCTTTGGAATTGAATCAGTTTTCGATGTTAGTTCTGTTGCACGCTGGATCAAACTTTGGGTTTCCTCAAAAGTGGAGGTTATGCTACATTTAATTTGTCTTCTTCTATCCGTAAATATAAATCAGTTCCAAATGTAATGCTATTAGCTTTGCATCTACACTTCTCTAATATGGTTAAATTAAGTGCTGCATCATTTTGTAAAAGTCAATACCACTGTAGCATCCGTGAAAACACAAGGATATTACAATCTGCGATTTATGACTGGTACACATTGTAGTCCCAAGGTTCAGGTGACCTATCTGCAGAGAAAGGTAGCTGTGTGCTGCCACAATGGCAAAACAGAGGGCTTGGTTTAAAGGTTAAACAAGTGCATGGAAACACTTCCTGTGGCCAACTGCGGCATATGGGCTGGATAGAAATAGGTGAGCTGTACCAGTGCGCACCAGTTAGTAGGGGACCAGACCTGTTTCCTTTTCTAAATATTATGCAGGTTTACACTGACTGTAAGGAGAGTAAAGGTTAGTTAACAAACTGCTGAACTGAGGGAAGCTGAGAGAGGATGTTTGATCTTTCAAATGTAGGTGCCCCACTAGTTTGTGAAACATTGAAAGAAATATTATTGAAATACAAGAGAAAAACACATTCCACCAATTTATGAGTAATACCACAGCAGCTTAAAAATGTAAAATAATTGAACTAATGTGTTCATCTCTTTGGTCAAACTCATATTCAGCATATTCAAAGATGAATGATCTAATATAATAGATGACTATCAAAATTAATCATCAAATATTTGAATAATTGATCAAAGGGTTTGACAGATATTTTTTAAAAGAAAAGCAAACATTTTCTGATTCCTGTTTTTTAACGTGAATTTATTCTGGTTTCTTTAAGACAGTCAACGTAATATGTATGAGTTGTGGACAAATCAAGACATCTGAGGATGTCGTCTTACGCTTTGAGAAACACTGATTAACACATCTTTACCATATTCTGAATTTTTATATACCAAAAAACGTAGTGTTTAGTAGAGGAAATAATTAACACACTAGTCAACAACAACAATTATTCTTGGTTGTAGATTTAATCTATAAGCTGTTATTCCACGAATGCGCTATTCAGTTAGTAGGGAGTCATGCTGTCTTTGTTCTTCAAACACAGCTTGTACATAATGTACATGTGTCAAGACAATATTTGAACTCAAAAAACAAATACACCCCTGTTTGCTATCCTGGCTCCATAAGGGTGGAACGAGCTCCCAATTGATATCAGGACATCAGAGAGTCTGCATTCATGGTTGAATGCACTTATTGTAAGTTGCTTTGGATGCAAGTGTCAGCTAAAAAAAGTGTAATGTATTTGGAAATTAACCGAGGAACCAGGAGTTCAGCACGGTCCATAGCTTACTGTACACATGGCAGCTGATTGAGGAGTTGTTAGATCCACAGAGCTGCCATGCTGAGAAGAGGCAGGAGCGGACGGGCTCGCCATTCAGCCTGGAGTGAAACACGGAAAGAAACAGATGACATGGCAGTGATCCAGATGTCAGACAGAGGGGGGTTGGAAGGCCAGGTGACGACACAGGTGAGACATTAGGGAATATAGAGTGTAACAAAAAGAAAGTGGATAAAAGTGTGGGCTGAAAAGATTGCATTTTTAAAGGTGTTGGAGATCAAATCTATGTATATTACTGAATAGAGAGAGACGCTTTCCAGGGAATATTAAATGTATAGTTTGGCGTGACCTTATGACAGATACTATTTCAGCTTGAGGGCCAGTAGTTTTCCACTGGGACTGTCCCCTCTCTGAAAGGGCTGTGTGTAAGACAGTCAGGTCTTCAAAGGCAAGGAAAGCAAGTTTAGTATTTTTGGAAGGGGGTCTCATTTTACTTACAGGCACACATGACTTGTGTAACCAATAGGAACAGCTTTTAGGGAAAATACTTTTCAGTCTTTCAAACATGCTTCTCATTTCGCTCTTCATAGAGATCTAATTCCTTCTCCCGCTACCAAGCCCTGGACCATGGCCATGTGTTCAGACTTACAAGATGCTGTTTGTGTCAATCAGATCAGCAACATGGAGCTTGAAGTGGATTACCTGGAGAGTTCTCAGGCCATGTCTGAGGTGGTGGCCTTGCCTGGTACAGAACCGGTGATCGGGGAGTCTTTCTGCCAGTGTGACCGACAGGAAGAGCTCAGCCTGGGCCTCAGCGTCAGCGCTGACTGCTTCTGTGGGGAGGAGGATCAGGGTGAGCAAATCACAGTACTAAACTAGTGAACAAAGCAGAGTATACTGTTTATTAGAGTAGTGTTGAATCTGGGCAGATAAGGCTTTTCTCACTAAGTATAAAATACAAATACTATTATTTTCTTTTTGTGATTATTTCACTAGATGTTCCTACTTCACAACTGACTGGAAAATAAAAACAAGACAGAACACTAGTGGAATACAAAGAAACGGTTATAAATTACTTTAACTATTTAACTACTTGATACCAATGCATGATAGACGATATGAATGTAATAGAATCCATTTGAGTCCATGATAATAATTTTAGCAGTAAATTGGCGTGGAATAAACTACTAAATAAATAGAAAAATGGAGTATAAAATAGAATACAATTTTAAAACAAAAATAGTTCTTAAATAAAAGCACAATGAAATTGATTTTTTTTTTAAACTTTTAAAAAGTATTAAATAAAACAACAATGAAATAGAATAACATTTTACAATTTAAATGAAATAAGTGAATACATTATGTAAGAAATGTCTACAAATAATTTGTATTAAAGGCTTGGCTGAATACAATAGTTAGATTGTAAAAAGTTCAAATCTTAATCATCCAGCTAATATATATATATATATATGTTTTTGTTCCCAGGTTTTGACTGGGAGTGGGACGAGCGCTTCAAATCATCCGGAGCCTTCCTCAGCTGCGACAACAGGAAGGTGAGCTTTCACACAGACTACAGCTGCGGCACAGCGGCTATCCGCGGCACCAAGGAGCTCGCAGAGGGACAACACTTCTGGGAAGTGAAGATGACCTCTCCCGTCTATGGAACTGATATGGTGGGTAGCAAACATTTTACTAATACTGGAAGTCATATGATAAGTGGCCTGGAGTTGCTCTCTTCAGATCTTCTAGTAAAGAGATAGAACTAGTCAACCTGTTTGATTCTGTTTTGATCATTTTGTCTGTGTAGATGGTGGGCATCGGGACTTCAGAGGTGAACCTGGAGACGTTCAAATTCAGCTTTGGCAGCCTGCTGGGAAATGATGAAGATAGCTGGGGGCTCTCCTACACAGGTGAGAGGGTTAATACAGGAAAGCTCTGTGCTTATATACAATGTTGAGGTGCTTTTACTTGAGTATTTTGAAGTGTTCCAGATTGGACCCTTGTTGTTACATACGAATTGTGAAATTTGAGTAGTGAGCATTTCCACCAAAGAGACATTCCCTCTTTGAACTTCCCCTAGAATTTGCTTTTAAAATAATTGTATTATAAGCAATTCTGAGAACTTGTTACACCACAGAGAATACAAATTAAATACTATTTATTATCACAATTGTTTGAAGGTTTCCTCCAGCACAAAGGGGACAAAGTGAGGTTCTCCTCTCGGTTTGGCCAGGGCTCCATCATAGGAGTGCACCTCGACACCTGGCATGGCACCCTGACTTTCTACAAGAACCGGCACTGCATAGGTGAGAGTTTGTCTCTAATTCAAGCAGTGAGCGCCATAATACCCAGGAACATTTCAATGTAGCTATGACTGCCTTGTTTTTCACCCTGAAATGTTCTTCTTCTCTTTTACAGGTGTTGCTTCCACAAGGCTGCAGAACAAGAAGTTCTACCCCATGGTTTGCTCCACGGCAGCTAAAAGCAGTATGAAGGTGATCCGTGCCTGCTACACCCCCACCTCCCTGCAGTACCTTTGCTGCACCCGGCTCCGCCAAATATTGCCCGACTGCCCGGACGTCCTCGGTGCTGTGGATCTGCCCCCCGGCCTCCGCTCCCAGCTCCACCTGCAGCTCGGCTGGGTCTTCACGCTCAGCAGCAGCCCCGAAGCGTCGGAGCAGAACGAGGACTTGTTTGATGATTTCCAAGAAGAAATTAGTCTGCCTTCCAGCCCCATCCCGAGCCCAGTCTCCACCCTGAGTGCCTGCCCCTCCCCCAGCCCCTGCACCAGCCCCTTCCTCGACACGGTCCCCTACCAGTGCTCCTGCCCAACATCACCTCAAACTCAGCCGTGCACTTGCCACTGCCCTCCCACTCCTCCCAGCAGCGAATACGACAGCTGCTGCTCTGAACCTGAGGATTACCAAAGCAAAAGATGCCGCTGGACATGACCCGTTAGCCAAAACGTGTTTGTAAGTGTTTGGCGAACAGCTATTCTACGATTGCCATCGACATCTCCTATTGGAAATTATGAGTGCAACCTCATCTTTGAGCCAATATTTCTACTTTTTTGAGGGGATTTTTACTTCTCTTTATTAAGAGTATGTGACATTCAACACCAATTCAGCTACTGAATCAACAACATTGTCAATGTGAATGCGAGAAGTGGAGATTTGATAGTGACATATGGGTCATTCAATTTAGCTAGTTTTAATAATAATACCTGGATTAATAATAAGTATAATCCGAATAATTATCAGAATAATAATCATTAATAATACACATTTATAATAATAATCTTAAATTACTTTATGGAAGGCCCAATGTTTCTGACTAGGAATAATGTGAAAGTGTACACTTGTTATTCTCTGGGGAATACTCCGGGGAAACGGCTTTTTGATACTGTGGAAATGACTTTTTGTAAATGTGTTTTGTATCAGCATTTTGATTGAATATCAACGGTGGATGTGTTTTTGCTTTACAAGAGTATCTCCTTTTTTACTATTTACAGTTTGTTTATTAACTTTCTTACTCAAGAAATTATTTTAAATTATAACAAATGAAGTTTGGTTGCTACAATTTTTTATAAGCCATTTCACACAAACAAAACATACCATGTAGTATAATGTCCCTTTTGACATTACATCTTGCATGTAAACAGAATAATGTTTACACATGATTTTCTTCCATATTTTACGAAACATAATTTCGCTTAAATCTGTTGAGGTATAAATAATAAGGTGCACATGATATCTAAGGCATATTTTTAGCTTGTAAACATCAACATGAACACATTGGCAGCCAAGTGGTGACAACGTGAAATCAGAGCCGGATTTAATTCTCGCTGACGTTTTCAAGTAGATCAGTCCAGGACCAGCTGGGGATTCTGGGCTGTGAGGCAGCGGTAAACTCTGGCCGATATCTCTGGGCCGATACGTCTCTCTTTCCCTCCGCTCTTCACCAAGAGACCAGCCAGCAGACTCTTTCTGTCCTCCTCTGAATCCAAGCTCTGGTACGCCTAAAAAAACAACAGAGAATGTACATGTTTGTTCTTGTAATTTCCTGAACTCATTTTTAGTATAAAATATATACGCAACTTGTGGAGTATAATCTAAGTCTCATTTATCCAGTCATCCTCTCAGCACAGTTTGCTAAAATCCTTGCTATTTAAAACACTTGGGCCAGACAGCGTAAGACTGTACGTTTGAAATGCTATGTGTTTGGAACAAAGTGAGCAAACAACTGGATAAATGAGTCTTGGATTAAGCTGTACAACTTTTGTGAGATGTTTGCTGTCGTTAACAGCAGACCGTATTTACTTCAAATCATCAAGATTTTTCTCTGTTTTTGAATTCTTTGTTCACCATGCAAGAAACAGCATCTTCAACAATTCCAAGTAACACAAGGTGATAATTACATTTACAAATAATGGTTTTGTGGATGAAGTATTGGTTTAAAGTCTATGATCTTATTGCATTGATGAACTTAAATCGGTTCAAAACCTACCAGTGAATGCTAAAAGTATATTGTCAAAGCAATGGAACGCTGGCAGCAGTGTCCTCTATGCACTGAGCTCTACAGCACCACCCTGAGGCAGCTGTACCTGCAGCAGCAGCTGAGGAGACGGGTAGGCAGCGATCACAGTGGAGGCCACGGTGGGGCTGACTCTGTTCAGCTGCTGGACCTGCCTGCTCCACACCTGGATCAGCCCCGAGCCGTCCCTCTCCACCCGGACCCCGCTGGCCCAGGAACCATCCACACAAAAGGGCAGCTCCGCTCGCTCCGTCAGCAGTCTGGAAAGACATGGAAAGACATCTTAACAGGGGAATGTTCCTTCTCTTTTATTATGGAAATGACTCGAGTGGCTGCACATATAACGCACATATTTTAAAATTGTCGAGTTTTTGGGGGGCGGGGCTAATGGAAGGCAATTTGAAATATGTCCAGATTCATAAGAGCAATGTGTATTCTGAGTTTCGTGAATATTGGAAAAACTATATGCGAGTAGTTTGGAGTAATTTGGAGTAATTTGTGACATGTAAATCGTCAAAAATGGAAAATTCTCAGTTCGCTTAGGAGCTCCCCGTTTGAGCGATCAACTATTCCTTCGCAATTTAGCATCACATTGGATATGGGCTGAACTTGTGCTGGAGTGGACCGAGTGGCTGCCTACTTGAAAGGGCGTTTTGATAAGGCCTTAGTGACGGCACACACATGGTTGGTGACTTCCTGCCAGCCATTAAGGAAGACCAGAGAGATATTCTTGCAGAGTTGCAGGTACACGAGAACCTGGAGAAAAATAACAGCAGTATTAAGTGTGCAGTGTGCAAATCAGTTATATGTACATTTTCTCAGATTTTTACATTCAAAATATACAACTAGGTGGCAAAAAGAACATGCAAGATTGACTTATCAGATTTAAAGTAAATTGACCTCCTCCACGTCCAAGTTCTCCATCCCCAGTTTGGATTGTAGAGTCTCATCCAGTAAAGGGACTGCATCAGCCCTATTGGTAAGCAAACCAACAATTAAAGTCACAATGCGGGCATGAAAGCCAACACAGAATATGTGTGTTATCTCACCAGAGAGTAATACAATTAGCATATAAGAAAGTCAATGATTGTGTCTGTCTATAAGAGGTCCTATTGACGTACACTTACCTGTAATCCTGCTGAGGGTCTGTCACTAAGAGGGTGACCACCTTTTTGGCGTCCCTGTTGAGACACTCCAAAATTGGAGAGAGGAAAGACCCCGCCCCTGTCTGCTCCTCGTTACTGTCAAGCATCTAAACATAATATAGAGGAGGGTCAGCATGTATGTTGCCATCAAAGTTAAATATTTCAACTTCAAAGTTTGCTCACTTTCTTCACAGAGACCACCGTGTCCATGAAGTCTGTCAGACCCAGCACCAGAACCACTTGCTCCTCCTCCAGTAAGCTGTCTTCTCCCTGCTATAGACAGAGCAGTAATGATCACACTGCAGAAAGCAGAGATTGTAAGAATATTTAAATACAGAGAGGGGGGGTAACCTGAGGTAAATCTCTGGTCCAGGTGATGCTGTGTGGGAGCTGATGGCTCTCAATGCTGAACCTCCAATCAAAGGTAGCCAGGGTGTCCAGCAAGATGTCTGAGCCACCGTCTTGCAGAAGAGCTGGAATAAAGCACACACAAGGTTATAGGTATATCAGCATTTTCTTTGTGAAAATAACAACATGGTCCAATGCTTGGTCCTTGTTGGCTTCCACCTTAATGCTTGTAGGTTGTAAATACATATTATTATTATTATTATTATATTAATTAGCCAGTACTAGATTACTAAGAGTACCCACAGATCATCTTAAAGTAGATGATAAAGAGCTAAACTGACAACAACAAAACGCACAATATTTGATAAAAAAACAAATAAAGAAATAGCACTAAATGAAGTCTGTATAAAGCACATTTTCCTTAATACATTTATTTTTGAATTAAAGAAAGACTGCACTTTTATATTTATTGAAACAAACAAACATTTCAGCATAATAAAATACCTTTATTGCAATATGTATGTGGTATTTGGACTGACTTTTAGCAAAAAAGTTTAGTAATAATTGTAATCATAATATAATTATTTGTTTATATATATAAGTATTGCTATAGGCCTATATCTATTTTGAAGCATCAATTATAAAAAAGTTATCAAACTGTCTTCACAGCAGTCCCAATATAAATGACGGGAAAATGAATTCCCACAGCACCTGAAGGCAGCACGGTGTACCTGGATCTATGCGCACTGTCAGACTCTTGAGGCAGTTTTCTGGCCGGAGACTCTTCAGGTTCTCGGCCGCCTCTCTCCTCCTCTGCTGCTCCTGCTTCCCCTCCTCCTTCTCCCGGGTCCTGGCTGTCCTCACCCTCTCTCTCTCCTCCCTCCTCTCCCTGGCTGCCTCTCTGTCCGCCTCCACCTCCTCTTTGTTGCGGCGTTTTCTTGCAGGACTCGGGGTTGCATGTTGTCTTGGAGGAGACAAAGCTGAAGTCTGACGGGGCTCTGTTTGTATGGGTGAAGATTGGAGGGTGTTGCACTTGGTGTATGGAGCCTCATCTTCTTCGCTCACTGTTATTGTTTGACTTCTCTCATCGAGGTTTAAATCATGTTTTTTCTCAGCGTCGCTGTCCTCGGAGTCAGATACTTCCCATGTTTTAGCTCTGCGCAACACAGACATTTCGCATGTTTAAAACATAATCAAAAATCTCCTAAACTCCTTGAACGCATTATTTAACCCCTTTCAGCGAGTATAAACTCGACGGTGTGCGCGGAGGGACAAAAGAGAGAAAATGCGCTTCCTATATTCGAGTTTTTATGAATAAATTATTGGGGAAAGCGTTTTGTCTTTGGTCGAAAACAACGAAAGACAGGAGAGGCACTAGCTGTCTATGGTTGATACATTTAACGTTATTCGTTTGATTGGATTAAATCTCAGAACCCAAAGATAAAACACTGAGTGAATGATCGGGATCGGGATGACAGTTTTGTAGCACAGTTGGCTATTATTTGGCTAAAATATTTATTTAATATATATAACCTGAATATATAATGGATGCAGTTGTTGTTTAATAATATATATATATGTATACAAATATATCACAAGTAAATTCAGACTACAGTTGTAGCCAATAGTAGTTCATTTGATGCTTGAGGTTTATAATTTGTATTCCATTAAGGTTTATGATTGGAACAATTGGACATTTTAATTAGGGAGGTCGAAAGAGGGATTTTGTTTTACAAAGAAAAATACTGAATTGATGTTATTTGTGCAGTACATAGAAAACCAGAAATTGTGTTCAAGAAAGTGAAACATTACAATCAGGAATAACAAGTTTTGGACAATTCACTCAATATCGAATTAAAAGTGGGAGAGCTGTGCAGTCTGAATAGTAATGTTGGTGGGCGAAAACATGCAACATTTACAAAGGGATATGCAAAGGTTCACAGTACTTTAGGAGGGGGCATTGTATGTTTAAGAGGGGGCTGGCTCTGATAGGGAAACACCCTGATGTGTGGAGGATACTTATCTCATCCTGTGCAAGAATGACATATTCTTTTCAGAGGAGGTTAAGCAGAGACCTGGAAGTAACTGGAGAAATTGTTTTTACTCTTTGAACATTACAAAACCTGGAAAACTGGACTACAAATAAGAAAACTGACCTAATATCTGCAAAGTTGTGGACTATATTTTGGATTTTAGGATAACTAACAGTCGTTAGAGGGCGCCATTACAGCGTCTGGTCAGCTGAATTCAACGAAGAAGAGTTTTAAAGCGTGCTAACCAGCTGCTCATGTAAACAACACTGAAGAATGTGATTTGGAAGTTTTATTTTATAACCATTTTCCTTTTTGTTCTCCATGGCGCAGCCGGCGGAGAAAGGTACGTCTGTCTATAGTTTTACTTTCCAAAAAATAGCCACATTCAGCAGAACCCAGTGACCAGACTTCTGTCGTAACCCTCTCTAAAGAAAATCTGGGCCACTGGAACAACAACTCGGCACTTTCTGCTAAAACTCATGTGATTAAACTGGAAGTTGCCAAAACCGTGAGGTCAGCAAAAACGTTTTGCTTCCTCGTGGGCATACTACAGACAATTTGAAGCTAATTCAAGCTAATGCTGCAGTTGTTTTACACAGTTTGTTTTCTCAGTGAAGTAAACACCAAATCCCCTTTGGGCTGAGTTAAAGGAAATGTACAATACCAGATTTTTCCTAAAGCCCCCTTCCACTAAATGAACTTCTTAGTGTTGCTTCACTTGAATGTGTGTCCTTCACTATACATAATTAATAGAGTCTTAAGCTACCTGGGGGATTCCCCTTTTTCTGTGGGAAATCCTTGAACTAGTTATTATTCGAAGGAGAATACTTTCTAAATATGTCTGGAGGGTAGCTTTAATAATTTTCAAAAGCACTGTTTTCAAAAAACACAATTAATAAGAAATGTATTGAAGCTTGGTTGGAATATATATTTTGTATATTAATTTCAGGTGAGATTAAAAAAAGAAGAAGTAGTAAACTAGGATGTTGCATTTGCGTTCATTGTAATTGAAGTTTGACTCTTACGTTAAAATAAACAATAATACATTATGCTTGTTATTTCTTTACAGCGTATTACCGCTTTTTGGTGCTGTTCTTCAATTGTCTGCTGACTTTTGGCTCCTACTTCTGCTTCGACATCCCCAGTGTTTTACAGGATCAGTTCCAGGGGGTAAGCAATAGGTCTAAAAGATATAATCAGTATTAAAGGATGATTTCCCTAAATTAACTCAACAGGATCATTGTAGTACTAATGACAAAGTCTGTCCTTCGTTTGTGGCTAGTATGATTATAACTAAATCACTGGCTTCCACTCATCTGACAGAAGCTGACATGTTCCAATGCGACGGTGATCAACGGCACAGTGGACTGTGTGGAGGGACTGGGGATGAACCCTCAGCAGTACAACCTCCTTTACGCCATCTACGCTTGGACGTAAGTTCACATCCACATTGACCCTACTGTATCACACTGCTCAGTGGCTTATCAGAAAACTACAATGGATTATTTTGTTTCCTATCAACAGGAATGCAGTCGTTGTGATCATGGCCGGCTTCCTGATTGACAAACTAGGAAACCGCTGTAAGTCAAATGTAGGCGCCATTGTATGGGTGTTGTTGGTGTGCCAGTTTACTTTATTTATATTTACACTGCAATATTAGTTTTGGACACTTGGTGGCGGGGGTTAGCTGCACTGGGTGTATAAAAAGGGTCATAGGTGACGAGGACACAGGAGGAAGGAGCATACCGATTCCACCAGCCCGGGAGATGCTCACCACAACCATTCAACTGTATAATTAAACCTTGGTGTGTAAAAGGCTAAATAAACATCATTATAAACTGCACCAAAGGACCGGAAATCCTTTTGTGTCTGCGTCTGGATCACTCTCCAGCCCTCCTGTGAAGTAATGGCAAAAGGATATAGGACATTGGAACATTACAATTGCCATTACATCAACAAATATCTGCTAAATCTATAACTGATAATGATATCACTTTATGGTAACTCACGGTGAATTCATTCCCTTTTCGTCCTCTCTGCAGTTGGAGTATTTCTGTTCTCCTTCCTGTGTGTTTTGGGCTCTTCACTGTTTGCATTGGGTTCCCACTTCAAGGGAACCCCCTATCTGCTGCCACTGATGCTCACAGGCCGACTGCTGTTTGGATCAGGAAATGGATCTCTGACCAGTAAGGCCAATTTCCTAAAGTCACAATCATACTCTTTCTGGATTTCAACTCAGAGCACTGTTCCTATTAAACGGCTCTTGTTGTCTTCATCAGTTGTTCAGAACCGCATCACAGCGTTCTGGTTCAGAGGGAAGGAGCTGGCCCTGGCGTTCGGTCTGACGCTGGCTTTCTCTCGCCTCGGCTCAGTCCTGAACTTCTTCCTCACACAGAAGTTTGAGGAACAATATGGCATGCAGTGGACACTCTGGGGTGGTAGGTACTAATAAAACAAGGGGATAGAAACACCATGCTTATGGCCTGAGTGAATAATAACACAGTGCTTAAGTAAGAGTATTTTTCTCATGCTTTCTAGGTACACTCCTGTGTGTGCTGGGCTTTGTTTCCGCCATCCTTGTCAGCGCCCTGGATAAGATAGGAATGAAGCAGCTGGGACTTGATGGCGCCATCCAAGAGGAGTCCCGCAAAGTGGTACGAACAATATATTTGAACTAAAAAACGTGCTTTCCACACCAAGTACACATTTTGAATGTTCATTAACTCCTAAGTAATGTGTGTTTCTGTGTATGTGTAGAGGATTCAGGATGTGAAGCTCCTGTCTCTAAGATATTGGCTGCTGGTTCTCACCATCATGTTCTTCTATAACGGCATCTTCCCATTCATTGCAGATGCCAGGTAGAGATGTCCACACACACACACACGCACACGCACACACACACACACACACTTCTCAGATTTTAAATGGGTTTTAAATGCCCGTATGCTGTAAACTAATTTAACATACAGCTGTTTTTCTACCTGTCCAGTAAATTCATTCAGGATAAGTACGATGGCTACAGTCAGAAGGAGGCGGCTTATATCGCCGGTGCTGTTTATGACAGCTCACTGGTCCTCTCAGCCAGCGTGGGCATCCTCATAGTAAGTATCTGTAACCTTAGCCTGATACAAGTCTGTCATAAAAAGCAGCATAAAACAAGAGGCTCTTGTGTTTTTCTTCCAGGATTTTGTGGGTCTGCGGGGCATTTTTGCTCTGGCCTGTGCCATCTTCACGCTGCCTGTGTTCGGACTGCTGGCCTTCACCTTTGTGCCTCCTCTGGTCTCCACCATATGGCTCGGAGTCACCTACTCATTCGCTGCTGTGAGTTTACCTCAAAAGAAATTATTGCAAATTAGGTGGCCAGTTTATGTTAGTAATTGATTGTCTTTTCAAAGCTTAATCTTCTCTGTGACGTTGAGCTGCCCGACCAAGCAAGGAGGCAGAGGCAGAACGTCCCAAATACAACCCGGTGTGGGCATTTATTTCTCATTGTGGTACATGACACAGCCTCAATATTACTGTCCATGTGAACACAGTCACCAGCAACAAGGATCTCCCACACACACCCAGACTAACAGGAAAACAGAACCTAAATACACACAGACTAATCAAACCAACAAGACACAGGTGAGGGGGGAGGAGACAACACAGGGCACCAGGTGACCACAATCACCAGTAACAGACAAGACTGGAGGGGGAACACTTTTCAAACTAAAACAGGAAACAGAGACAGACAAACTAAAACACCAACGAAGCTATACAATCCGTAACGGATCTATGGCCCCAGAGATCACCTCCGTTCTCAAAGCAGAGATTTTTCTTGTGAAAAACATTTGTTGTTTCTCAGGTTTTGTTTATTTTTTTTGAGCACACATGACCATATCAAATCCAAAACAAAATGTATTGGGAGCCACTGGTTTAAACAATGGACTTTCCTCAACTTAAGGACAAAACAGAAAAGAAAAAAACAATAATAAGAAAGGACTAAGCTAACAACAAAACCTATAAATAAATCCAACAAAAATTAAATGACAATCTGTGCTGTTTTCCAGGCCAGCATGTGGCCGTCGATCCCCCTCGTGGTGCCTCAGGCGACTCTGGGAACAGCCATGGGTCTGGCCACCTCCGTACAGATGGTCGGGATCGGTATATCCAATCTGGTCGTTGGGCAGATTTTGGGCTCCAAGTCGAGGTAGGAATTACTTGAGATCAGGAACATATTGGTAGACCACTTCATTGTCCTTTCTGCATTTGAACTTAGCTGCTCTTTTCCTTTCCAGTGAAACTAAAATACCTCTGTGGCGCTGGCAGAGGATGATGATCTTCATGTTGGCCAACACCATCGGCTGCATCGTCACCTCGGTGGTGCTCAACGTTGTCGACCGCAGACAGGTCAGACACACAGCCTGTTCATCGATATCTATTTGTACTGTGTGTGTATATTGTCAGCCATCTTCACCACAGGATACAATGTGCTCAGTAAATATTTGTTTACCTGCAGGGCGGGACACTGAACAAGACAACAAAGAAGTCGCAGCAGGCGGAGGGGGAGTCGGACAGAGAGCCCCTCACCCAGGGAGAGGAGGAGGAGGAAGAGGGAGGCGAGGCGGTTAGATCTCCTTCTGTCAACTCTTAAATTTGAACATTTCTCTTTTCTTTTTTTTTGTGACCAACTTTTTATTGTTGTTTTTTTTTTGCCCTCACAAAAGGGACTTATAGACAATACAAAAAAAAAAGACAAAGAAAAAATAAAGGGAATCCATTTCACAGAAAATCCTACCTGATGTTTTTTAGCAATCGTCTGAGTTCATCTATATATTATATATATTATTTATATTATAGCATAACAATTTATAGCATAACAATTTATCCACATAAAATACATTCATACTTTTTTTCCCCCACATAACATTTCATCTGTTTAAGCTGAATTGCGATTAACTCCTAATAATCTACAATTGCACCAAGGTGTGCGTATATGTACAATCATCATTTACATGAATGATATTACCCGATCAGCAGCTCTTTGAATAGCCTCTAATGTTTCCCATCCATCCATCCATCTTCTCCCTTTTAGCTCTTATCTTGCAATATCGCCTTGACCAGCATTGTAATTTCACATTACGGTCAGTAGGTGGAGCTGTTTTCATATATCTGTTTGTTATGGAAAGACTAAAGCTCATGTAGTAGCAAAGTTAACCAAATTGATAATATTTGGTTTATCAGTAACCTTTTTGTGAGCCAGGTTGGTTATTTGGGGGAGAGCTAGTCAAGTTACCAATGCTTCACATCACATCCCTCATCCTGTCAACAACTGCAAGAATGTAGGCTGTTTTAAAATACTTAAAGGCAAATATCCAAAAGTTAATATATAATTTTAAACGTACACTAATTGTCCTTTATTTTGTATGTCTATTCGGATTCATTGCTTCATCATTCATGGTGATGTTAATTGCTACTTTAGCCATTTTAACACTAGCATTTATCCGGTAGCCTGTATAGCCGAAAATGTTTATTTATATATGGACAAGAGGTTTCAGTTAGAGCTTGTGCGCCTGAGTTTTATTATTCAAATTTGATTAAATGCAGATTAGACTAAACTGATCCAGACGGCCCTGTCTACTCTTGAATCATGTTGTGCTCCGCAAATACTTCAGTACTCTAAAGTTCAACGGTCAGGGTTCATCACCTCCTGTCCTCCTGACCCTGTTCCAGGTTCAATGTGGTAAGCGTCCTAAAGACTGCACTCCAGTAGATTACCAAGGAGGAAAACAAAACAATCAAATGTTTGATGTTTGCAGACGGTGATTAAATGTACCTGAACATTTATATTTGTGTCCAGCTGGTCCTTGTATTCAGTCATAATCCGACCAAGGATCAGACGGAACACTCTGATTTGTAAAGAAATGATAAAGGTTTACATAACTGAATGATCTGGCGCAGTTTATAATCTTCTTAGAATTGTGCCCCAATTACTAGATTATTAGAAGGATGCATCTGAAAGGTCACCGGAAAAAATGTTACCTGTCCCTCAGTTCACATCCCGTGTTTACCACAGAGATAAACTCTAAAAATACACCTCATTTAATCTACTTAGTGTGTGGCAGGCCTGCGTCTTTGCCTGCCTGATGGCCAACTTGCACACACACGCTGAGTCAGTCTCAGAGTCTTAGAGAGCAACGTAACGCCTGACTTTAAACAAGGGGCTTTAGCATCCTGAGACCTGCTTTATGGTTTCTCACCTGGTGTCACTCTGCAGTCTGATCTGTGCGGACGACGGCCTCGACGACAGCAGCATGTCGGGCATCCTCAACCTCCGCAGCCTGGGCCGGATCTGCGGATCCAGCAAAGATATGGTAGTTCTGGACAGGGTCAAGAGGAAGAACTCCGTCAGGCGCATGTCAATTATTGAAGATGGTGAACTTGCAGAGGTCCTTTACCTTATTCCTAAACAGTCCATGATGGAGCAGCTGCCCTTCATCAACCCCGACGACTACATCTTGTGTGAGAAATTGTTTAGTTCTGCAGATATGGCAGGTATTGAATTGTTTACTTCCCTATGTATTCAGGTTGATAAGTTGTTGTTTTATTGACTTGTCATTACAGTATATAATTTGGCCATTGTTTGTTATGGATCATATGACATTGATTTACATCAGAAAATGCTAAATGATGATTAGATTGAACATCTTCTGTCTTTTCTTATTACTTAAATGCATTTATGTTGTTTAAAAGAAGTCAAGTTATTATAAACCCTAATGTTGCTCACAGGTTGTATTATTGTTGCTGTTAACAGGCTTATATATACCATCATTCATCCTTTTATATGATATTATATTGAAGGTTTTTGGTCTACAAAATTGACATGTGAGTTTCACATGTCAACATTTTTGTTCAACCCTTTGACATTGTCTGCTCCGTACATAAACAAACATTCATTTTGTTGGCATCCAAAACACCATCTACCTCTGTTAAATTAAAAGTACAGAATGTATTTTTGCAACAACATTTTCTCTTTTTCATATTAACTAGCATTTTTAGTTGCATGTATCGTCAATATTCTACCTAATTTGGTTGATGAAATCACTATGCAGATTAAAGAAGCCTGTGTGTAAAGAAGGCAACTCAAATATTCACAAAATAATGTCTAGAAACATCATCAGCTTGTATTGTAATCACAGAATCATCTGAAGTGAACAACAGAACAATCACATTTTCTGCAGTGAGCATTTTTCAAACATTCGGCTGCTTTAAAAAAAAAAACGTTCCTTTGTTTGTATTCTTCTCTGGTGCTGTAGCCAGGAGAAAAATAAGCTAATAGTGTGAATGACACAGAGAATGGAAAAGAGATTTAGACTAGAGCCTGGATTTGAAATGTTTCTGATACAATAAAGGAAAGAAAAAACAAAATGTTACTCCAAGTTGGACATTGTACAGCCCTGTAATATATCAAATAGGAACATTTTAACTGCAGACTTCAATCTATTTTTTTTTGTTCTACGTGGAAGGTAACAGAACACTTGAAGTTATTTTAAAGAATTTATAATGTTTCCAGGATTGAATGTCAAACACACACACACACACACACACACACACACACACACACACACACACACACACACACACACACACACACACACACACACAGTCCTGCCCTCTGTGTTTTAGACCACCCCCTCTCCTTCACCAGCAGTCCTGTTAGTTCCTCTCCTCACTCTGATCCGCTGCAGTGAGCTCCCACTGACGAGCAGAAATCAACTGTCATGAAAGAGAAAGGTAGACATTTTTATGTGTGTGTGTGAGAGTGTGTGTTGAAGGAGGTGAAAAAAAGGGAGTGTGACAGCTTGGGTTTTCTGTTTGTCTTTTCCTACTTGTCACTGGTTTAAAACTTGTTATTTAGCATTTTGGTCATATCAAACAGTCTTGCAGCTAAGTAATTACATTTGTCTCCAAGAAAGTTAACAATGTCAATGGGACTCATTACTTTACTAACTTAATTACTTCACAAATGTGATTGTTTTGAGTTGACTATTATGATTTTGCTTGAGGTGGCATTTCATTGTGTTAAAGGTCAAAACGAAAATTGCTGATGACTTTTTTTGTATGGTTTTTCTTATCAATGTTTTAACCAATCCTGATGTTTGGCTGTGTGAAAGCTTTAATACTGTTGTTGCCAAGTGGGGAAAAGTGCAAGCATAGCTATTGTAGAGCATCATGGTGGGTTAACCAGCATGTGATTTTTTAGAATGACCTCTGAATTGAGACTTGTTTTCCTTTTGATTTCCATATTATTTCATTAAGTGAACACAGTACTTTTTCTCAATGCTATTACTCAAAGACATTTTGTACTTTACACAGAATGAGAATGAGGTATATTTAAACATCTACATAAAGATTCTGAAAATAGAAACTCCCTACCTCCTTGCACACAGATGTAGATTTTCATAGCTGGAGATAGTGGATGTGTGATTAGCCGTCGTTCTCAGGTTTCTCTCCATTTGCTGTCTTTCTAAATCTACCATTTGCTAATACTTGACACCATATCAGCTTCACATTCTGGAAGAGATCAAGAAAGAGCGGACGACATTTTGGACTCCTAAAATATTTCTAAATGAAGAAAGAGTAAAAACTAAAAGCAGACAAAGGATACTTTATATATAGGATAATACCCCACAGATACTGTATTATGTATTATTATGTATTCTGTTACATAAGCGCAATACAAGGTGTTCTACTGGCAAACAACTACATTTCTAATCAGTAGGAGTATGTCCTGTTGTTGTGTTGGCATCACAGCTCTGTCATTAACAAATAACTGAGGTGTAATCGCACAAAGGCTGGTTTGGATGAATTTTCAGTCATTGTTAGGGTGCCATGGCCAAAAGAACGGGTCACATTCCCAATGGGATTATGCCAAGTTTGGAGATCCTCTACTTTTTAGTTTAATGAAAAGACACAGTACGTTTTGTATCCTTTGTTGACTTCATATATCACAAGTCTTCTTTGAAGCTGAAGGTCAAGTTGTTTACATATTTATTATGTACTACTTATTAGATTTAACAGGAGATTATAGCCACTTACAGGGGGCTTTTATTAACCTTTGGGAAGCATGGTCTCTTAATCTAGTTTGTTACTTCATTCTTGTTACCATAGGGACAAATCTCTCTGTCGTGGGGCCACATACCGATGGTGCTTGACTCAATTTTCTTCATATTGAGTTGGGAACTAATTCTAGCTGTAGGCTATGTGTAAGGACATCTTGTTGGTGTAGTCGAAAGAATGTCAGAGTTAGTGCAGATGAACTGATGTCCCTGTTATCTGGTTAAAAAATGAACTTGTTATGATTTATGTGGAAAAACTATATATGAAAAAAGAGAAGACGAAGCTCATGTGTCTGTTTATGTAGCTGGGTGTCCACACAGCGCTCTCACCGTGCCACATTCTTTCCCCTCTCTCCTCTGCTAATCACATTCAAGACCTCTCAAGTGGGGCTGTGATTAGATTGTACAGGCATCCACTGCTTCTGTCGCCTTATAGACATGAAAGAGACAAAAGCAGAAGGAATGAGGTTCTTGCAAAAGTAAGAGACTACGTTTGGCACACAAGCTCCTCATAAAGCTAATGTTGTTGGGAGAAGTAATGGCTTCTAACTGAACTACTGTCTATATTTTAAAGCACTCTAGTTTAGTGCTCTGTGTAGCTCTGGGCCAAAGCAAATCTGCGGTGGCCCTGAAGTGCAAGACACCACAGCATTTCACAAAACGCCGCAGCATTTCACAAAACGCCGCAGCATTTCACAAAACGCTACAGCATTTCACAAAACGCCCCAGCATTTCACAAAACACTATAGCATTTCAGAAAACACCACAGCAAAACCAATGACATTGCCATTAGCTTATACGCTAGACTTTTTGTCAATTCCAATAATAAATGTTAGCATGCTAACACACTAAGTTTACAGTATTCATTTTTACGATTTTTAACACAGTGAACATTTTTCTGCTCAACAGCAGAATGTTGGTATTGACATTGCGAGCATGCTAACATGCTGATGCTAACATTAAGCGTTAGCTCAAGTAAGATACTTGCTAATATAGGCCTACATTAGCCTAAAAGCGCTGCTAGCGTGCCTGTCGAATCTTGCAGCCTGTTTTTTTTCCTACATTTTAAAACCACTCTGCTCAATGACGAGAAAACGTCACTTTCTTTGTATGACAAAACAATAAACTTGACAGTATACTTTCGGTTTTAAAGGAGGATGACATAAATTAGTACTTTAAAAACAATAGGCTATTTTGCATTTTCAGATGAGATGTTAAGCTTTCTGATAGGTAACAATGATAATGCATTTCTCATGTTTCATGAATTCCTCCCTCTTTTTTAGGGCTAGCTGCTCAGAATGACCCGGGCTCTCTGGGGGGGAAGCGGATCATCCCGTGCTTCAGGTGTGGGGATTCATGCAAGGGACAGGTGCTGCGAGTCCAGAACAACCACTTCCACATAAACTGCTTTACCTGCAAGGGTGAGTACCATCAATAAGTGCACTATTTGACATCCTGCAATCACAGAGTAGGAATATAATAATTTGAGCCTTTAGCATTAAAACCTTTTATTTTCAGAAGGTTAGTTTTCAATTGAGTTGAATTTGCTTGTAATTTTTTAGACAGCTTATTCGTGCCATCAAATTCAATTTCATAGAAAAATATTCTGCATGGCTGTTGTGAGAACCTCCTGGGTTGTCAGACTCAGATTCATTAAAGTTACTTTGTTTTGTGGAAAACATATTTTCTCATCAGGCTATTGTCCCCATTAATTAAACCTGACAAGCTTCTTGTGTTGTTGCCCTTTCATCCCATGTGACGGTGTTTAGAGCACAGAGGAAACAAAGAGACTTTTAGAACAGAGAGTCCTGCAGTAGTGTACAGTGAGAAGACCTGGGCATCTAGGCTCAGTGGGCTTCATCATGTGTATTCATGTGTGTATTATGCAGATACAAAATTGTATTTAAAAATAAAACGAAAAACAAAACATGATGTAAGTTGTAAATGCATAGCTACAGGACAGGAATAGAGCTGTGCAGTAATGCCCTTGGCATTCCTGAGGTGGCAGGTTCAGAGGTACAGTTTCGGATATGGGTTGTATGGTATCAAATGTCTCCAAACAAAGCACGGAGGAAACACTGCCTCACTGTCAATAACATGCCAAACACATGAACACTTTAAAAACTCTGGCAGAATCATTATATAAATAAGCATTGATTGATTGATTGATTAGGTCAGACAGCCCAAATTACATCTTTGATGGATTACATAGTTGCTGTGTACTTACAACTATGAAAACGTGAATTTAATTTAATACAATTCCCAAAACTCTTTCTTTTTAATAATTAAAGAACACAACAAAATGAAAATGTCAGTCAAAAGTCAACCTGAGCAAACCAATACATATAGGAAAACAAAAGAAGGAGTTCTGCCTTTTATGTGGTTTAGTCTTATCTAGCAGTATTAGCTGACCAAGTAGTCTGATACGTAACTGTAGGAGAGGGACAATGCATTTTTCACATTAATCCATTGATCCAAAGATAATTAAAAGAAAAATGAATGTAGCTTTAATGTTTTCTGTTGTCATCTGTCTCTCCCTGTATGTCTGTGTGCAGTGTGTGGCTGTGACCTGGCCCAGAGTGGCTTCTTCATGAAGAACAGTGACTACTACTGCCCGCTGGACTTCCAGAGGATTCACGGCACGCTCTGCAACAACTGTGGGGAGTTTGTGGAGGGACAGGTGGTCACAGTATTGGGGAAGACCTATCACCCAGCTTGCTTTGTGTGCACCGGTTGCAAGTAATTAAGAAAACAGAATCATGGGAGTTTGGATGCAGAACAATTATTTTTCTTGTGGGGTAAATAATTGTCTCTTTCTCTGTTTCCTAGACAGCCATTTCCTGCTGGGGACTGCGTCACCTTCAGTGGAAAGGACTGCCTCTGTCAGCGCTGTATCCGACCCGTGTCTCCAGTTCTTAATCCTAAAGACCTCAGCTCTTCAAATAGTAACTGAACTTTTGAACTATTGATTCTCTGAGCATTAATTCCATTTGATCCAGTGTTGACAGCAAACATATTAACGAAGCTTTAAAACAGACCCGAGACTCTGATCCCATGTGGACAAAATCAGACAGAGGATTATGCATTTAACAATGGTCCGCTGTGGCCATAGGACTGAGTTTACATTACCTTAAAAATCCCCACAATCCCCCTGGGATCCTGCAACGTGAATGACTCACTTGACCTTATCTAGCTGACAACTATATATAGGGCAGAGATCAAAAGGATTCAGACTCTTAATACCTCTGGATTAAGTAGCTCTCTCTTAAGTACTTTAAATAAAGGGGTTTATTAAAACAAATCTAAAGGAAACAACATAGACACTCAAATTGTATTCATGTATATCCAGAAATCATATCAAAGAACTGAGTTGCTTCCTCATGTTTCCCCAGATCAAGTAGACTCAGCCCATTAAGTTCAATGTGCACATTTAATTCAATTTAAACAAAACGCATGAGCATATTTAGGTGTCAAGCGTTAAAAGGATAGTTGGGATTTTTTAAAGTGGGATTATATGAGGCTCTTATTCCCAGTAAGTGTATTACCTAAGGAAGCTCAGGAATGTACTGCGATGGATGGAGGCATCAGAGAACATGTGCTACAGTAGCCACCTAAAAATATCTATATCAATAAGAGTGTCTGCTGTAATTATACTTACATTCACACTGCTTCACCTTGCTTTCAGACACATTTTTGACAGGTGACTGAAGCTGTCATCTATGGTCTTTTCAAAGCTATAGTAGACTACTTATATACCATAGGGATAATGGGGGTTGCTAGTCTGCTGATGCCTCGATCGGTTAGTTTGTTTTTGTTATTGTGTGACTTTGGTGATTCTGAACCATCCTTTATAACACCAAAATAACACCATAACAACAGCAACCCCTGTACAATGACTGTTTCCTGCCATGGAGTCTGGTTGCTTTGAAGGGATCCTAGATTACAGTTACCTGAGGCTTGCTAACCACCATCTACTGTAGGAAATACCCTCATAAATCACAATCACAATCGGTTTTATTACCAAGTAGGTTTACACATACGAGGAATTTGCTTTGGTATATATTTGATAAATACCCTCCTCTATGGCATTGCCCCAACTATGTATAACCATTCGGCAACAGTTGTCATCCATCCCTTGGACTCTTACTGGATATGTCCTGTATGTGTTTTCAGACTGCTCTGGCTGTGGCAGATCCATCAAGAACGGCCAGGCTCTGTTAGCGCTGGGGGGGCAGTGGCACCTCGGCTGCTTCAAGTGTAAAGCCTGCAGGAAGGTGCTGAGCGGAGAATATATCAGCAAGTAAATACAAATCTGTCATTTAAAAATATTTTCTCAATGAAGTTTATTTTTTCTAACAAAATAAGGTTGGAATTAGAAAATATGTTAGCAAAATGTATAACTTAGACACATTAAAGAATATATGATTTTAATGTCAAGTGTCTTTTCTTTCAGAGATGGCGTGGCCTATTGTGAGAGGGACTACCAGATTCAGTTTGGGGTACAATGTGACGCGTGTCAGAGGTTTATCACAGGAAAGGTCCTAGAGGTGAGACAGCTTTATTTGTTCAGTTTTTCTCCTGGTTGAATGATTAACATAACATTGGCATTTTTTGCAAAACACTGACTTTTTTTAACTTATTCTTATTTTTATTATGACATCTTATCTTGAGTGTATTTGTTTGTTGGCCCCTTCTACTCAACACATGTTTTATCTAACCTATTTTGCTTATAAATTGTTTCTGAACTGTTTAATGTGGAAAAAATATATCAAAAAATATATTTTTGTTGAAGAACAAGTTGAAGATATACTTTATATATAAAGGAAAAAATATATCAAAAATATATGTTTTACTTTATATATAAAGTATATCTTCAACTTGATTTGAGGAGATATTTTAAAGTACATTCAGAAGATTAAGAGTTAGGGTGTTGTATGTTAATTGTTGGTCTATGTGATAATGTCTAAGTCTGAAGTTGTTGCCTTCCTCATCATCAACCTACAGGCAGGGGAGAAACATTATCACCCCAGCTGTGCAAGATGCAGTCGATGTGACAAAATGTTCAGAGAAGGCGAAGAAATGTTTCTGCAAGGTCAGTGTGAGAAATACCTGATGTGGGTGTGCATGTTTTTATTGTGAGAATGGGGATTTAAGCCTGTGATGGATACATATATTAAAAAAGGTTGTCAAATGCAGTCTAGATTTTCAGTGTCTAAACTGTGAATTGATTTTGAAATACTGTATTTTTTTGCCTTTATGTCCCTGCCTTCACAGGATCAACAGTTTGGCACCCTAACTGCAGAAGCAACAGCAGAACAGATGACAGTTACATGGTAAAACCACCTTAACTTAACACGTCTACAGTGAAACATCTTATATAACTCGTATCAAAAATATCTCCGAATACTGGATAATACCCAGCAGGTGTAATTGCTGTTAAAAGGAGGACGCGAGTGTGATATCTTTCCACGTCGCTGTCCTCACATTTTCTCTTCCTTCCCAGGCCAGCAGACCAAAAACACCTTGTCTTGATTTCTTTTTCCCCCATCAAAAAATGAAGGTTAATATCGTGAGCAGACCTGCCGTTTGCAGCGATGCTTTTCTAGAGGGAGCAGGCTGTAGTCTCACGCTTTGAGATGAACTGCACTCGCTTGTTTCACTTGCATCACTTTGCTCACCAGGCTTCAAGTGTGCTAGTTCAAGGCAGCAAAAATATGACTTCTTAAAAGTTACATTTTTGCCTACTATCATTAGTAAATTCAGCCTATAAATGTGTAGCAGCTGTAAAGTATAACGTTGTTCCAATATGTATTATATTTCATACAAAACATTTTAAAACCATGTTAGCTGTAGAATGATGCATGCTTGGCTATTTTATTTCCTGCTAAATATACACCAATATGTGATTATGTAATATGCAAACGAAAATCCTGTCTGATAATGTTAGCTACAAATAAAGGTTTTTTATTATTGAGCATATTACAATTTGGAGCATTGCACATAAACTGCATGATGCCAGGCCCACTGCTTCTAGTTGAGATCTAAGGACCAAGTTGTGTGACGAGAAATTGCCTGAGCATCCTATGAGTGAAACTAACTGCTATTTATTTTTTTAGCCCACTAGATCCTCATCAGAAAGCTCCAGTTCCCGGCCGGGCTCCTGCACCCCGGGGAGTCCTGGGCGAACCATCTGTGTAAGTTCTAGTGACGACATCTGCTTTACACAATTCACGTGGCTTGATTTGACATTTGATTTATCATTTATTTGTACAGGCGAGTCGCGTGGATAAGGTGTTTCTCTTGCAAGATTTTTCTTCATGTCAATGAAGACAAACATTTTAGGAAAATAGCCAATGTGGAAAAAATAATATTTAAGCATAGTTTTTCAGCTTTACCTTGACTGATCGGAAAGAGTTTTAATGCCAGAGGAGAACAAATTGATTTCAATTGTGGTTGACAAAAAATCAACCACATGTTGAAAAGGAATTTAGAATCAATTTGAATTCAATTCTGAATTTGATTACAAAACAACTTGTTGCTTTTGGTATCCTGTAGTTTCCTCGATCCAGTTTATTATGTTCCATAGACTGTAATTACTTTGTGAGGAATAAACTTTCCCCCTATCAAAACATGATATGAGCCAGGAACAACCTACCTTACTTAAAGACAGAGAAATAGAGAGTCACAGATTACAGTGTTAATCTGTCCAGCTCATGTGCCAAAAACAGTTTTGGTGGGATTAAAGTTGTATTCCTCGAAGTCTTGTAATAAACCACGTCTGACCTTTCACCTGACGTAACCCATGCTGTCTGCTCCTTCCTTGTCCTTCCTTCCCCTCACCCCCGTCCTCCTCTCTCCTCCCTCTTCCTGGTCCCAGGCAGTTGCCTTTGTAGTCCAAAGTAGAGGAGTTGTCGTGCACAGACTTATAAGACATCATATCAGGATGCTCTATTTCATATATAGCCTTGACTCTGGGAATGGCTGCTAAATCTCGGTAATCAATGATCTCATTATCTACTTTTGCCTGGGACCAGGAAGAGGGAGGAGAGAGGAGGACGGGGGTGAGGGGAAGGAAGGACAAGGAAGGAGCAGACAGCATGGGTTACGTCAGGTGAAAGGTCNAATGTTTTATAAGAGGAAGTCATCAGTAAAATGATCAAATCAGGAATAAGAAAAATTACCAAAGGTTTGAATTCTTAGGTTTCCACATGAAACCAAGAAACCGCCAAGGCACACNGTAATTTTTCTTATTCCTGATTTGATCATTTTACTGATGACTTCCTCTTATAAAACATTTGAAAGAGGCCCTATTATGCTTTTTAGGGGTTTCCCTTTTCTGTAATGTGTCTGATTTTGTTATGCCTGAAATGGACTCCTTTGTTTACTTCTGTAACATAGTGACATCATGTAACACTTGCGCTTCTATTGGCTAGCGCTCCAACACATTGTACGTGATAGGCTAAGAGGCGGGACATCTCTAAGTGGTTCACCAATCACAACAGAGCCGGCCAGCTAACCAATCAGAGCAGACTGGGCTCTGGTTTCAGACAGAGGGTGACAAGAGGTGCTGCAGCACAGGCAGTATGAGAAAAATAAAGAGCTTTTTCAACAGTAAAACGTGAAAACATGTCACAAAATACAAATTATGAAATGGGAAAAGGAACATAATAGGGCCCCTTTAAAAGATGCATGTTGGTTAGGGTATATTTGTTATATATATGATATGTTTTTTTCTTTTTTCATATCACACTTGTTAGATATACAAGGCTTTTATCTAAAGTGTCTAATGTGTATGTTTATTTCTGATTTGATTTAGTCACCAGGAAGCGTATCTGTAAACACAGAGGTGAATATTTGTTTTAATAAGAGCAGACGTATTCAACACACAAAATAATGTCGATTTGTTTTGCATTCACACTAGTTTTGTGTCCATCTTCTTTCAAGGAGAGTTTTGAAATCAGAAAGTCCATGCCAACATCTGCCAGCCAGGGAACGTTCGGAGTTCATTCACTGCACAATCGTCACAGCTACACTCCAACTCTGTCCAGGTCACCGCAGCACTTCCACCGGCCAGGTGAGGAAAACACACAAAAGTCAAATGATCTGAATCTTCTTATCACCTTTTCATAGATATTAGCCCACCTCTGCTCACGTATTCTTTTGTTTTACCACCTTCCCTTATCCGCTCTGCTTCCACAACTCCTCCTTCCGCTGCTTTCGTGGAATAACACACAGGATTGATGCTTTCTTCCTCTTTATTATCTGGCAACAATGACACATGCCCCACTCCCCCTTTATGTCACAACTTTCTCCCTCACACTAAAGGTAAGAACCCCTGCTCTTCTGCCACCTTTACTGCATCCCTTCCCCCCTCCTGGTTTGGCCTTACCTTTTTGCTTTCTTTTATATTTCCTATCAAACACTTGTATTTAATACCTAACCCACCATTTTATGTTCTAAAGCAGGGGTGTCAAACTCAATTTCATCACGGGCCACATTCGCATAATGGTTGCACTCAAAGGCCCGGTTGTAACTTTAACACTATATAAAAATACATATATAAATATTTAATATATATAAAATAATTTATTATATTACATCAAATTGGATTATTATCGGATAGGGTAATAACTTCATAATTAACTCGGTCTGAAAGCAGAAGTCTAGGGCAAATAATTGCAAGTCTCTTCAGTAAGAATGTCACAAAATGATTTTAAAAGACATTTTGAAAAAAAAGTAACATTTTCAAAAAAAAGTCAATTCTGAGAAAAGGGCAAATTCTCACAAAAAATGCATATTTAGAGGAAAAAAGGTCAAATCTGAGAAAAAAGTCAAATTTGAGATGCATTGTGCTCCATGGCAACGTGCTTCTGTAAATCGCAACCGTGTAACCGTATAACAAACATATTATATTCTTTGCAAGCTCTTATGGGGCCACATAAAATGAAGTTGCGGGCCGGATTTGGCCCCCGGGCCTTGAGTTTGACACCCCTGTTCTAAAGGGACTATGGTACGTTTGATAAAACAATAATTTAAGATGACAAAAGTTCTAAAAACAAACTGGTTTAAGTTTCAAAGATGGATTTATTTTAGGACGGATGGCACAGAGATGTGATGTATTTTATTGTTAGGAAGGCTGAGCCATCTAGTGGTCAAATGTCATTGATCAATCGCCCACTGATCATCCCTTTTTTCCCAATTTGCATATTTGACTTGACCCTACTTGTACTTTTCTCTTGTTCTGCCACCTCTCTAACTTCTTCCCCTGAAAGAAAGAATCCTTTAAATAAATCTACATCAAAGTAGGTATTTATAAAACGGGTTTGATTGATTAAATAAGTAAATATTCCTGTGCCTGTTCCCGACATCACTCACACATTCCTCTAAAGCCGTGCCTATTTATAGAAGTGCTGTGAAGCTTGTTTTATCATGTGTGTGTGGATGAAATATGACAAGCTCTGACCGCTAATCGCTGGCATGTGTTTTTTGTGGGGGATGAAAATCCCTCACAAACTACACGGCCTTGATTTTGTATAAGAATCGGTGTATTGTCTTTATATTCAATAATAAGAAACATTAGATCCTTAAAATATTCTCGTTGATGTCTTCTGAATCTGTACAATAACATGAAATGACATTTAAGAAACATCTACAGAGGTTTTTGTTTGTAAATGTCATTATGGCTTAAGCTTTTGGCAGTTCTGGCCTGCTTTTTATGTTGTAAAAGTTATTAAGATGATTGTAGATATACATATACATTATGCTAATTCTGGTTCCAGTTCTTTTCATAGAATGTCCTCCAAACTACAAGTAGATATACATATATACCATATTTAGACATTGAAAAAGGAAAAATGTACTACAGCAGGTTCTTACTTCCAATGTTCATTTATTTTTGTTCTACTGTGTGATATGTAACAACAAATCATCTGCTAACGTTGCATTTTCTTCTATCAGCAGACGAAGGCTTTAATATGTACAGACGACCACCAATTTATAAACAGCAAGGTATGATATGACCCTTTTTATCTTTGTGTCCTTTTTCAAAGTCAGTTAAAATGCTGCTTGAATCTTTTAAAGCCTCTGATTATTATCTCCGTGGTGTTTCATTTCATATTTTAATCGCCTGGACAATACCTTACTATATAATTTAGTTGTAAATCTAAAAATAGAGCAGTACTGAGAAGTATGTTTAACAGATCAATTAGCAAAAGGCTAAAAACAGAACCAGGGGAAGTATATCTGAATTAGTCAATCGGATCTTATTTGCACAAAGAGCCGAGTCTGGTTCTAATTCGTCTCATGAGGAGCTAATCTGTCTGTTTCACTTTCACATAGAGCCAAATTCCTCCACATCGCAAACAGCCTCTTTGCCTGGATATGGTCGCAATGGCCTCAATCCGGTAAGAGCAACATCACTGATACATAATCCGTCTGTGTGAACTATTGTGTAAGGCTACTGGGTGACCTTTTGATTCTGTATGTGGAATTGGTTGCTCTAGCAACACATTATGAAAGCCAAACGAGGTTTGTCCAATTTATAGCAGTTACTAAAATGAATGATTGATTGTTGTTTCCTCTGTCTGCCCCCTGTCGGTTCTTCTAATACAGCCATGGTCAGCTGATTACTCACATTACAGCAGTGACAGATTTAAAGGTAAGTATTTAGACATCTTTATTTTTATCATGGACTTTAGTAATCACTATAATTATTTTGGAATATTAATTCGTGTTGCTTTTTCTTTGCCTCCCCCCCCCCCCCCCCCCGCCTTCCAGACTTTAAGGTACGTGAAAATACTTTAAATCCCTGCTTTTGCTTTCTTTGCTTTCCTTTTTTGTTTTCTGCATTTCTAAAGGACTGGCCTCACCACAGTCTGCATGGGCATGTTTTATCAAGTAACTCAATTGAATTCAAATCTGTAATTATATAGCAGTGGCTACAGCTTGCAGAACTCTTCATTAATATGTATATTGCATGTATTACATAACTAACTCTTACCCCACATTTTACAAATATATCTTACTAGCAGTCATTTGGCCGTTTGGGTTTTATAATTGAAGGGATTAATCCTATCATGAAATGTTCCCATTGCACGTGTTTGCTTCATTCTGTAGCTCATCCATGACGGTCAACATCCATTAGCACGAATGGACAGAGGAGTGTCCATGCCTAATTTGTTGGAACTGAAAGCAAGTATTGTTTGTATATTCATGTGTGCTATACAAGAGTTTTCCCTACAACAATGTATCATGTTCTGCACCTTCAGATAACAGAATACATGTTTCAAGGACAACGTCATTATTATTATCCTGGCATCACTGAGGCACAGTTACTATAGATACTATATGACGGTGGCCTTGAGGGTCAGAACACAACAACATATACACATTATAGGAGAAAACACTATCTCAGAAAAAACATTTTATGAAAAAAATTAAATAATAGTTAATGGTGGCCATGAGGGTCCAAACACAAACACATTGCGTAAAACACAGCAATATTTCAGTAAATTATTTCATTTTTGTTAAAATTTATTATTTCTGGGATGTTGTGGTGTTTTAACACTCAGGGGCCACCGTACTATTTAACTATTATGCATGACAACAGTGCAGTGGTTATACAGGATGCATATTTGCATGGGACGTGATGCTCTAACTCCATCTGGTATCTCAATGGCTGGTAGGGAAACCACACAAACGATTGTGTTTAGGTGTAGCTTCTGCAAGAATCGACTATGAAAGGATTCTCAACCAGCCTTTGTTTTGTCAAGGTCTACCCGTATGAGCTGCTCTCAGTTGGTAGTCGAGGCCGAGTGAAGCTTCCCAAGGATGTTGACAGAACAAAACTCGAGGTAAAGTAACTTGAAAAGCATTATTATTATTAAAGTGGATAAACATGCTTAGCATTATTTTTTATCTGTATTAAAACACCTTCACTTCACATTTGCCGAAAGGGTAAAATATCTCTTTAATATTCTTAATTTTACCTTATAATAAATGCATGGCCTTGTGTCAATACTACACACACCATGCCTTACACCTACATAGATGTTAATACATTCCTCTACAGTCACATCATCTGCTTTTTCTGAAAAACCGGTTGAAGACATTTGTTGTTTCAGTCAAACGTACAGTGTTTTGTTTTAGAATAAGAAATGCACCAAACGGATGATCTGTGCAGCGTTTCAACAGTCCATGTTATTCATTACTGCTTTCCTTTGCAGCGTCACCTATCCCCGGATTCATTCTTTGAGTTCTTTGGCATGGGCTTTCAAGAATTTAACGTCCTTCCACTGTGGAAACGAAACAACATGAAGAAGCGGGCACATCTCTTCTGAATGCTGACTGATGCATGCTTTGACTCATTGTTAATATGCAGTATATATTGTGTTCTGAAGACCCCTTAAGTTTATTTCTAAAAACTAGAACCAGTATTGTGTTTCCCAGTTACTTTATGTGGGTTATTGTTTTGAATATTGTTCATATGTATAATACCTCAAATCAAAAGTGAACGTGAGAACTCAACTTACTATAAGGCCTTCGCTAATAATATTATTTTATATTTTCAGCCCCAACTCATTAGGGAATATGTTTATATTCGACGATACAGCTGTTTACAATCTCCAATTATCATACATGCAACAGGAATTGTGGCTTTTTTGTGGCAAACATGGGAAGAAGAGACAGTTAATGTTTCAAAGCAACACTTTTTTCCATGCAGACAAGCTAACCGAATCTTAACCTCTAAGATTTTCATTGACTTAACTTTAAACAATGTACAGTTGTTGAGTTCAACTCGATAGCAAATTGCTCATATTTCATTTAGTGTTGATTGTGCATTACGCTGGTTTATGATCAGTGACAACATTTTTAAAGTATGGGTTTGGCATTTTCACTTTTTTCTGAATTTATATAGACCAAGCAATACATTTAGAAAAAAAGTGGCCAGGGTATTTACAGGCTGTGAAGCTTGCTAAAGTGAACTTGTCCTCATTAAAAGCCTGTGTAGATCATTATTGTACCCTTTCTTAAAAACATGTCATGATACCTGATGTATACTGAAGGAATATACTGTTTTAGTTCTTTTTATTTCTTTAATCACACTTGGTTGTCTCCTGAATACACAATTGCTTAGCTATAGCTTAAAAGAAACCGTTTTGAGTGACTAAAGGCTCACTCAAATGTGCCTAATCGGACTTTGAACGATTAGGGTAATTTGAAACTTTTTTTTATGTTTTCCCCTAACTTTTTACTGTATGTGTTACCTCCCATCACACCATCTCAAGCGCCCTAAATAAATTCTTGCCCTTCTTACTTAAGTTGAGCAAATGAATGTTTCTTTATTGACAGAATGAGGTTGGTGAGGCCATATTTTTGCACATGTTTTCAGTTTTTTTTTTTTTTAGCATCTCCCAGGAGAATCTTCCAGTCTGGATCACCAACTTGTAAAAAAAGAAGAGACACTTTTTCAGTCAAAATCCATACCATGTATATCACATCACAAAATTACGGTGCACTTTACATTTGTTTTCATAAAGCTATTTGTTTTTTCTATTTCTCTTAATGTTATTCAGTCTTAAACCAACAGATGGTGCCATGGAGCCTGAAATCAAAACACCACTTCATCATTGCTTTGCATGTTAATAATGAACATTTGCCAAGCTTTTTTTTTAAAGCTTGTATTATCATTATATTTGCGAAATTATTTTCTTTACTTGCATCTACCAAAATGTAGTGTTTATAGTGTAAAAATTGCTAAAATCATAGTCCCTTCCATAGTAGTTTACTAGAACCATGAGTAACAGGACACATGGGATAATGAAAGCAGATTAAATCATCATAAAGTGAATTACATTCCTGCTTTTTATCAGTCATTTACTCATCTGTCCTAATCGAATGAGTTAATTAAGCAACGGTTTTAAAGTGTAATTTCAAACGGAAAAATATTAAGAGTTTAGACAATATTTTATGTAAAGACTGGTAGGCTAGGACAACTATGTGCATTTTATGGCTTTAGACTTTTGCATGCACACATCGCAAGAAAGATCAAATAAACATAGTCATACAGTGTTATCATGTTTATTTAAATAAAGTAAATAGTAAAGTCTCAATCCATAATGCATCATTTTCATCTGAGGCAACAGTATCCAATGTACAGTATGGAAGTGAAAGAAAGAAAAATGTTTTGTCAAGTAGTTGTTCTGCTTTTTTAGTTCTGTTGCAAAAAACATGCAAAAATACCAGCAAACAAAACATTATTACTCCTGAAAAAGGCAACCTGAATAAATATATGTTTTTTCATTGGGGACTGAACAATATTATCTCAGGCTAACCTTGATAACAACACAGTTTCACACAGAAGTTGTTGTTTTTGTTATCATAGGCTCTTTAAAGCCCACCTAGCTTGAGCGAAAGCATTGGAGGATTACGAGGCTTTCTATTGGTCAGTTATCGCACACGCTCGGTTGTGGGTGTTTGTGATTGGTCGACATTGCTGTCACTCACCACTCCACTTTCTCCTGAGCACCTCCCCGTCTCTCCACCGACTGGCCCAGGCGAGGATTTTCATCGAAAACATTCACCGCAGACTGCGTACCAGAGCCGGGGGGAAACGGTGCTACGACGAACGGAGAACCGACGCTATGGACCCAACAGCATGACAGCCGACTCCATGGCGTTTTTTGAAGTTGGTGTTTAGAGGCGTTAAAAGGATTCAACAGCAATGAATGCGGTATCACTTGTCAGATAGAGAGGGGCCAAAGTGGACTATCCCTCCCTCGGTAGATGCCTTCCGCCCGATGGAGGCTGACGAGACCTTTGCAGCGAGTTCGAGGCCCGGAGGGTCACCTGAGAAACACCTCGTTGCAGGACGCAATTAAGGACAAGACCGTGCACACCTGTCTGCGCTTTCGAGGACTTACTAGACAAGTTGTTAGTGAGCACAACAACAAAAGTTAGCTGCGGGAGGCGAACCCCCCCTGCACAAGATGACTATCATAGATATCACTTAGCGAGAGGTTACTCACCGCCTCAGGTAACACAGGACAGGTGAACAACGTTACTCTTTAAAACGGACTGCACACTTTTAAAAAGTCACACCAACTAATTTGTCTGCGAGAATTCAGCAGTTTTTTTTTTTAAGTTCTGTTTTTTACTCACCAAGAGTCAACCATGTCACTCAAAGACAATGCTTGTCGGAAATTTCAAGCCAACATTTTCAACAAAAGCAAATGCCAGAACTGCTTCAAGCCCAGAGAATCTCATTTGCTGAACGACGAAGACTTAAATCAGGTGAACAAATAACATGTCATACTTGTAATTACTGTCTGTGTAAGCTATATTAATGATGCAGTGAAACCCTGTTTGTATCACTCCGTTTGATGTGCACATTTCAGAGGGTTTGTCATATGTCAATTGACCATGAAGTGCAAAGGTCAGGTTAATTGGACATAATTAGTTTCCAGCCCAAGGGCGCATATTGACCTCAATTCATGCAGATATGGCTCCACCCAGCTCCATGCTTTCCACACAGTAGCTTCTATCAGCTGCTTCTGTTGGCTATTTTCAGTTACAATCATATCTCAGTTCTTGTTTTTATATTTCCCTCTTTAAAGTTCGTATAATGTCCAATCTTATGTGTATTATCCTAATTTCCAATGTCCAATGCTAGTTCAAAAATAATTGGAGACTACAGTATGAGGCTGACATAATCTTTGCACTATTAATCCAACATGAAGCTGTTCCAGTAATGCTTCTATACTGGCATGCGTTGTTGACATTGGCAGCTTGTGAAAGTTGGCATCAGGGCAGTTGATCTCTGTTGTCCTTTATTGTGGTTATTGCCTCTTGGTAGGCTGTTAACGGGACAGATCAAGAGTCTCCATTATCAAGGCAGTTTGTGTGATGACACCCATGGTGCTTCTTAAATTGGCTTCAACATGGCTGGTTGATGACTAACATCAAGCCGACATTGTACGACATTTCCCGTAATTTCCTCCCTCATGACCAATGGATCCTCTGTTGGGATGGAATTACTCTCGGGGGTATTTGTCCTCAGTGGAATTTCTGACCCACTGTCTATCAACTTTATCCTTTGGTGACCGCACCCAGTGAAAGGTTATCATCAGCGGTCAGACACTGAAAACCCAGGATGTTTTAGCCAAGTTATTTATCGTTTGTGTTCAGTGTCGCTAAGATACTGAAGGCGTGTGAATTTTTCCTTTGCATATTTCCAGCATTAGTTTTGCCTGCCCACTTACACACCACTCAATGCCCATTACTTTTGGTGCAGTTTTACAGTCATTTATGATGTGGGGTAATAAGACGTTGAAGGGCCATTTCCAAATGAACACACTCAAATGGCTCCGTTTAACCCACTGAAGCATTGAAGGGTTAAAAATGACCTAAATTCTTCTTGTCTTTTCTCTCTTGGGAGGACTTTCCAATGGGGTTGCTGTCAGATCATGTGAGGGGAGATGGGACACTTGGTCTCAGAGTTTCTACTTTGAAGAAGCTAGTATCCCAGTATTTGTGTGAATCCCTTTGAACACTCACTGTTCTTTCTCCTTGTCCCATATCTAAGTCTATTCGATGAGCTGCGATTCTTAGGGGTGCAAAGAAATATTGAGTTTTGTGATATATACTATATCAATCCCAGATTTCTAATAATTGGTCCATTGTGGTGTGTTCAAACCCCCATCTGCTAAAAGCCACTGATAGAGGAAGTCCATCCATTTGACTCTTCCACTCTGAGAAACGAAGAGGCGTAAATGGTTGTGTGTTCTATATAAGGACACTTTTTCTAAAATTAGAGTTAAAAAATACAATACATTCCATTGCCTACAGTATCGTAATACATTGAATCGTTATCCCTGTATTGTGATATCACCTGATATTTGAAAAATACACAGCCCTAGCAACTCCTATGCGTCACCCCTATGGTTGTCTTCCAAAAGTTGGATGTTGTTTCTCTTTCAAGTCTGCACACACTCTTGACTCACCAAGGTTACAGGTTGAGACTCCTGATTGAAATGCTCAATTACGTCATTTTGTTTACAAAGTCATTGAGCTGAGAAATGTGCTGTGCCTCCTACAATCAAAGCGAAAGAGGATTTAATGGTGGATTATACTTGGCTTTACATGCATGGAGTTATGACTGTAATCAAAACCACTGATAGAAGGACAGAGAGGTGCCAGGCGGCTGTAAATGTCAGAGCTTTTCCAAATTGATTTGTAGACTGTTGTTCCACAGACTTTGGCGTGCAGTTGGATTACGTAAGGTACTTAATTTGTTAAGCTCTTTAGGTGTAGGTGAGATTTGTGCATGAACATATTTAGTGGAATGATTGCCGCCTGTAAACAAAACCCCTGCAGTGGTGTTGCAGGGACTTTGCTGGCTTTGCAAACAAATGCTGACTACTACAATGGCGAGTGTTCAAGAACGCGCCGGAACAATTTAAGAAAGACTGCCAGGCCAACTTGCATTTCTCAGTTTGAATTGCAAATCTGGAGCCACAAAAGCTCTCAGGCTCTGCTTCTCTCTCCTGTTTCTCCTCCACTCTTTTCCTTGCTAACTTCTGCCTCTTCGCTGCCCCCTCCACCCACCAGTCCACCCACTTAGAGGATCAGAGGGAAAATCATGTGTGTTAGCCTTTCCTTTTTTTTTTTTTCTTCCCAGGGAAGCATGGCGCTCTGGAATAAAGCCAGCTGGAGAATGTAGCCTGCTCAAGAGAGCTAGTGACTAATACACACCTTCGTTTAACTCAAATCTGTGTGTGTGTGTAATCCTGTCTGATACTGGGCACAATATAAAGCCTCAACTATTATCCTCCAGTTTCAGCTACAAACAGTTCAAATGTGCACAATTAAACAGATCATCAATATGTTAAAGTGGCTGTTTTGGTGTGGTTTTAATGACTTTAATGTTTTTCTGTCATCAGGCAAAACCTATATATGGAGGATGGTTGCTGCTGGCTCCAGAGGGAACGAATTTTGACAATCCGTTACACAGATCTCGGGTAAGTGGTGCCTTTGCTGGACTTGAAATTGATTATGGTTAGAAGGGAAAGTTTTTTGTTTCATCAGCTCTTTTTGACCTAATCATCATAATTCAGGAAACAAAAGAGTATTCTTCAAAAGAAAAACAACATTATTTGACCCAATGTCTATAGCTTTTGCTCGGTTCAGTACTTAGGATTTTGTGTATCTTTTAGTACAAAATACCTGATATTCAGAATATTAAGGCTTCTCAAAAGGCCACACAAGGGGAAAACAGGCAGTCTGCTCACCAGCCCTTCTTTTAATTCTGTTATCCGTTTTGCTACTATTTTGACATCCAACAAACGGGAGGTCTGGTTATTGTGGCTCCTGTAGCTGTCTCAGCAGCTTCCTGTGGGAGGCTCGTCCCCCCTATCAGAAGAATCCACACTATCCAGCAATAATGAGCCTTATATTGACTTTATTTCATGAATCCTTGTCCCCCCCCAAACATCATGTAATGGGAGACGTGCTCTGTTGCACCGCTTCCTTTATCAGCTCCCAGATTATACTGTGGTGGTGCATCCCAAAGAGGAGTAGTGGGAATGTGGGGGAGGAGAAGGAAGGAGAGGTCCCAGTTCTCACAGCCACACTGATGGCTTCCATATGGGGTTTTGGGAAAAGCACCTCTGGACCCTTCCACTCAACTACTGTCAACAGGCTGCCGCTGCTTTGACATACCACTGATGTGTTCTGCCTATTCTTACAATCAGCTTTTCCCCGCTGTGTATAATTGGTGGCCTGTTGTGCTGAGGTGAGCAGGCTGGACCATGTTTTGACTGACCAACAAACAAATAACAGAGGAGAAAGAGATGACGTGTTGGCTGAGTCATGCTTTAGGAGCACCGTTTGTGGGCCTGTGGTTGTAAATGTCTATCAAAAACAAAGTGTGACACATATCTATCACGCTTTTACTGGAAATGGCTGCAGTGACCCTTTTAACATCCCTTGTGGCGCGTATCAGCCGCCCTATTGAGACCTTCAGATGCCTTTTAGGTTACAAAACACTTCTTAATATTTCATGGATTAGCCTCAGTTGGAATCGGATCCAGGGATATTTAATACTGAGTCAAAACGGTGAGTTAGGATAAGTGGGGAGCAGTGGAGAGATCATCAAGCCAAAGAAAGAGAGGAGATCAATAAAATCTTATCATTGGCACGAATATCAGCAGAATTGTATCCAAGAAATAAAATGACTCCTTATTTGGTACATTTGAGTATGTGGTTTACACAATATAACAGGCTTCACCTCAGTAAGATTGGTTCCATTAAATGTGTTTTGGGCAAACACTGATACTGATACTGGTCGGATAATATTTCAATGTTTGTTTGCATTAACACCATCCTGTAAAACAGATTCAATCCGCTGAGACATTACAGTAAAACTAAACAGGACTTTTACTTACTGTATTCTTTCTATTGTCTTTTATTTCCTCATACATTTTTAAAGAAAAATGCATCATGAGTTCCAGAAAGCCTGAAAAGCATGTGATGTGGTAAATGCTGAATGTGTGCCAAGAACTTGGATGCCCCTGCATAGCAACTGTTTCCCAAAGGCTCGCCCGCACTTATGTATGTACTCTTTGTGTGTGCACCAGTACAGCGGCCAAGTCTTTATACCCTGAGGAGTACAGTATATAACATTAGCATTCAAGAACTTCATGGGAACATTTACAGATTAATTTACTAATCCAATTAATAACACCTGGCTTTATAAATATCTGTCCATTCTTGTAACACTGTTTGTCAAACTTTCCTGGCTAGAATTATCTGATGTATAATAAGTAACAGCTTTAAAACACAGTGCTAAGTGTTTGCACATTCCCACAGTGCTTTGTTATTTATGTAATTGGATGTGGCTTGCTGTTATGATATCTTTGATGTGATCATCATGTGAGTAATTCTAGCATTTATTGTTTTGTGTAATGCAGAAATGGCAGAGGAGGTTCTTCATCCTTTACGAGCATGGCTTACTGCGCTACGCTCTGGACGAAATGGTAAGTGAACCCTGACAGCTCCTGAGTTTGGTTTGCTTTGAAACAATTTTTATTTTAAAATGAAATTTGAATAATGGCCTGCTTTTACATACTAGCTGATGGCTTGAGTGGTCAAATCATCATAAATTACCGTGCATCTACACAGCCTTAAATGGCACATTGGCAAAACTACAGTTTTTACCAATTATACTTATAATTATTCCCAATGTCATAATGTCTGTTCATAAACAGAGTTTGCTCTAAGTGAAAGCCTTTTTCATGATATATTTTAAACACTGGAATTGTTTGATAGTTATGGTTAAAGTGTAGTTATTTTGTCACTAAGCATTTGGTGTTTTTCTGAGGAATACCTGGAACATGTGATGGTCTCGCCAGGCGATGGCCACATCGTTAACACGAGCGCTTTCTCTCATACAAAAGAGAATTTTGTGAATGTGTTCAACTTTAAGCCAACTAACACAGCGGTGTCAAAAGGAGTGAAGTGACACCATATGGTGTTGATAATAAAAGTCATGTGCTGAGCTTTTTGTGTTTGTTTTTGTTATTGTGTAAGCGCCCCATGCTTACTTCCTGTTCTTAAAGAAAAACTGGAAAATCCACTTGATGTCAGGAACACGGATGTCTTTAGTGAACATTAATGCAGTCTGATATACGTCAATAGTTATATATGTAAACTGACTGGCTGTTCTTGTAGGTTTAAACACTACCCTATATAGTTTGTCGGTTGTTCTATATGTACTGCAGCATATAGGCACGCTGGATATTGATTGACCCTCTCCTTTTTTTGTTCTATATGTGGATGGTGCTTTATAATGAGCTGAAAGCAGGAGTAGTGGATGCAGCACTTGCTTTGTTGCTTTTGACTCTTTCATACTGTATGTGGCATTCTCCGGCAGAGGACAGAGATGCTGAGAGGGTTTATGTAATAAAAGCAGCAGGAGATAGGCTGCTTTGTAGAGTGTATTCATTACTCAACCTTCAGGGTCATTACACCCTCCTAAAGTAATCTGAATGGCAAGGTTAGTGTTTGCACAGTGCATCCAATGGTCTGTTTTCTTATCTGAAGATATTATTGAACGTAATAAGCAAAAATACTGTTCTGGCCTGAATTTCGGCTTCAAACTGAATGCACTGAGGAATAATGAAAGCAGAAGAAGCATGGATGATGGGTTGTTTACTGAGGGGGACAAAGGAAAGTGGCGGATGTCCTCCTTCCATTCATCTTGCTCCTTCCATGTCACTCTTCATCTTTTCATCCCCGCTCTGAATTCAGGATCAAAAGGAGACGGGGGTTGCAAGGGTCTAGAGCTGGAAATATCAAGTGACACTAAATATAGAAGCTCTCTTGTCAAACCAAACGCATTAGAATAATTGTTTAGTGTTGAATACAGCATGTACAAAGTTGGCTAATGGGCATACGTACAGTATCCGGCACTCGTTTTCCACGGACAAAGAGGTAAACTGAATTTAATTGGTATGGTTAGTAACTGTGAGTGGCATTATGGGTTTTTTATAAACTCTATACCTTTTATTGAAGGACTTTAAACCTAATGACGTAAAATACTTTGGTGCAGAAATGTAGTACAGTATGAAGCTATTATTGATATTATTAACACTGGAGCACTTTGAGTGTGTGACTCTTTTTATTTTATTTTATACGAACATTTGAAACACTTTTTTGCAGCATTGATGTGCAAGTGTCCATTCTGGATGATGGCTATGGTTTAGAAATGTGATACCCAGCTATGTAATATGCATACAGTTAACTTGTTAAAGGCCATTTAATGCTTCAGATTGTTAAAATCAACATAAAATACAATAACAGAGACCAACTTTAAGATCGGTTTAAATGGTGTATTATGAATGACATTAGGTCAAATCTAAACACTGCCAGCTTTCACCAGTATAACATTGCTCCAGACCACATCAGAGCCCCCATCTGAGAGCACTAGTTGGGGTTGTAGATGAGGAGGTGCCCCTCTGTTTTCCTCCCAGCCCAGTTTTATGACTCTTGTGTCTTGGCTGTAACCAAACCCAGATGCACTGCGGTCCCAACCTGCAGGATGTGGCACGGCTCTGGGGGAAAGGAATGTGTTAGCAGAGGCCTGGGAGAGATCATAGTTCCTACAGCCATCGATTTAGGGTTGCCCACCGAAGGGGAACACCCAACACGATGCACCACTGCCATCATTTCATGCTAAAGCAGCTATGACTTTGAAGAGCCGTTATGTGCAAGAGACAAGTGGTGGAGAAAACGTAGCTTCAGTAAGAGCAAGATTGTGAGAAAATGTCTTCTGAGAGGAAGCATGTAGACGGTGAATAGCTGTAAATGTTGGCCTGCAATGAACATGTGCAGCCATGCAAGGCTAATGTTTTAGTACAGCTTTCATAGCTCATTCTTGGCATACAGTAGGCTTCCAAATAAGGGAGTTAAAGTTTGTTGTGACTAAGATAATTCACTAACTTTGAATAAGAAATGACATAACTCTACTCCCAAAGTCTGCTGTCAAACAGGGTCTAGTATCTGCTGAATGTACAAGCTAGATTCTCCTAGAGAAAACCCAACGCAGCTATTTAAAGGGAGCGTTGTCAAGGCAACAGGTTTTGTCCCTTTTGTCCAGCAACCATTGACCATGGCATGTGTGACATGGGTCTGGGTTATTCTCTGTTTTGTGGAGGGCTCTGGCTGTCTCTGTCCTGACTGTAGGGACACAGGACAGAACGCTCTGGAATGAGAGCACGAGTGTGTGGGCTGAGGTTTTCTCCAGGCTCAGTCTTATGGTGAGCAAGCCTTTCTACAGTAGCTGTAGGGAAAAAAAATCATCAGACACAGCATCGAAACCAATGTGCAAGGCTGGGTCAGACGGAGTTTGTGCTGAGCTGCACATGTTTCAGTGTGTGTGACTAAATGCACCTGGGAATGACGGTGCTTGACTGCAGAGGCCGTGTCATGAACAGGTGTTGCAGGGTTTGAGAAACCCTCAGACTAAGCACTGTTGAGAGAAATTGGACTCATGTACTAATTTAGAGGTAAGGAAAAGACAGATATACAACCTGAACAGAGGCCACCTTAACACGACTGTGAGAATAAGCTGTTTTAAGTGATGTAAGAAACACAAAAAAATCCATTATCACGTCGTGGAGAGGGCAGCTATGTGGGTGTAAAGAACTATCCGGCTCCACTTTAATGACATGAGTGCGAGTTAAAACGATCCAACGCCCACACTCTAATAACTGCTTTGCTATGTGGTCAGAAATACACCACACAACACCTAGCTCCCATTGACCTTGTGTTGACCTAATTGTAGCCTTTTCATACTGACACACACACCTCATGATATGATCTCGCCTGAAATATTTTTCTTTGCAATGTCTCAATATCTGTTTATTTTGCAATGAAACTCTGTTATTGTTGTTGACAGTGCATTGTGTTCCATATTTCCTCATTATTATGAGGCCATAGGAAAGAAAGTGCATTTAGTTGTTCACATTCTTGTCGATTAATGTATTTTAGTCCAGATAGTAGAAGCAGAGTATACCTGCAAATAAAATGAGGCTACCTATTGAGTTGCACTGCACAAAAGACCCATTCAGAGAACCTTGAATTGCACTTTGCCTTTAGACTGCATTGAGCGCAGTTGACTGCCTGCACCACAGCCATATTCCTTGTAAAAAGGAGAACATGATGTTCTCATGACGTCTTAGTTGTTAAGTCATTTTCATTTAATCTTAGTTCAATTAATTTCCTGTGTTTACTGGAATTGAATTAGTGGACCCAGTAGCACTGTCCAAGAACTGCGAGTTTTGAGAAACTTTCCTTCGTTTCCAACACATTTGTGCATTCTTTTAACTTGAGGCACACCATTCTGCTGTCTCTCTCCTGAATCTTCCAGACATGAGCATATACAACCCAATGAGCAATGTTGGCATGTCAGGCTTGTAAGACAGTTTTCATGCTGAAACATGCATAAACTCTCTGCCTTCTCAGTGAAGAAATGAAATTCAGGACTATTTTTAACTGATTTTGAGTAGCTTTTCTCTTGAGTTGGTTTCAAATGAGGGGAGCTTTCTAGGGAATGGATGAGTGGGCAGGGCCTCTTTGCTGTGTTGTTGCCTTCAGGCTCTCTATGCAGGGAATAAGTGGAAGCTGACCACCCCACCCCATCAAATTAGGGATACTTATAGGGGAGCTCCAAGTCTTGTACTCGCAGCAAGCCATGGGAAACGGAGTGGAGAGGGAAGTATAGACTGCTTGGAGTACACACACTTGTGTTACAGTTCATTAAGGAAAGATCAGTTCAAGAGCGAACGAAGCAGCTGATTTATAGGGTAAATAACAAATGAGAAGTCAGTCAAAGCTTGTGACTGTGTAAATCCTCCATATTGGATTATTGTGCGTTGTTTACTAAGTGTGGGTCCAGGGTAAGGCGTATGTTGGTTTTGCAGAGATATGGTGCGTGAGAGTCTTCTTTAACCCCTGCCCTTCCTTCCCCATGGTTCTAGTAGGAACTGATCTGCTGGAATGTAAACAGCCATGGATTACAGTGGGGTCACTGTTCCCATTGCACAAAGCCACAAAACCATGGGAACAGCCATTCATACAGCTTGTAATCATCAGGGTCTACAACACTGTAACTGCCACTCAACCCAATGTCCCAAAGCTGTAGTCCAGTTAACTATATTTATAAAAGAACATTCCCATGTTTTTGTTTTCATGTACAGAAATAGGGAATTTTTGTGGATTCTTGTTGCCGTTTTATCCCAGGAAATCCCAAGCTACTGGCTGGGGAAACTGACCGCAAAGAGTCTGCAACACGCAAGCCATTATCCTCTCCAGTTTTGAGCAGGTAGCACATCCAACTAGTAGGAGTCGAAAGTGCATTGACAATTACGGGAAACCTCACCAGCTTTCCCACCCACAAACGCTGTTGTTTTGAAACAAAAGTCTTGTAAATGTTATGGTTGAGTAAACCAAACCACGTCTAATTGACTGATTATAA